CCCTACTGTTTTTAAGAGTAACTATTAAGTTACTTGGAGCAAAGGCTGCTAAGTGCTTGGCCAGCATTAACTCTCTCCTTTCTTACTAACAAAATTTGCATATTAATGAGGGTAGCAATGTGTCTGTCACCCCAATAATATTACAACATTATAACTTATAAACTTGCATTTCCTGGCCTCCTTTTTCTGTGGCTATGGGACCAAAATCCAAAAGTTGTTGGGAAGGGTTTATAAAATGACTCCTTCAGAGAGGAATAGATGAAGGTTTGGAAGTCTTTTCCCCCTTTCCTCCTATTTAGAGTAATGGCTGGCATCCCAGAGGCCATTTTGGACTCTGAGGTGACCTGAAGTATGAGGACAGTGGAGCAGAAAGAGGAAAGAAGCCAGTCACTGATTAATGTGAATCCACCACATCAGCCCTGGGCTGCCTATTTCTGAAATCCTTTTCTCTAATAGAGAAATACACTCTGTTTCCAAGCGGCTGTTATTTTAGGATTTTGCTATATGTTACTGACCCAAAACCTATTTGATACACTACTATAATCAAAACATTATTATACTTACATAGAGGGGCACCTGGGTGGCTTAGTTGGTTAAGCGTCCGACTTTCGCTTAGGTCATGATCTCGCGGTTCGTGGGTTCGAGCCCCGCGTCGGGCTCTGTGCTGACTGCCAGCTCAGAGCCTGGAGCCTGTTGCAGTCTGTGACTCCCTCTCTCTCTGACCCTCCCTTGCTCACGCTCTCTCTCTCTCTCCTAGAAATAAATACAAAAAATTAAAAAATAAATAAATAATTAAGAAAAGGCAATGGCAAAAATCATTGGAATAGAATAAAAAATCCAGAAATAGATCCAAGTATTTAGGGGCACCTGGCTGGCTCAGTCTGTAGAACATCTGACTCTTGATCTCAAGATTGTGACTTCAAGCCCTACGTTGGGCAGGGAGCTTACATAAATTAATTAATTAATTAATTAAAGATCCAAGTTTTTTTGGGGACTTAATAATATATGAAGAGATCTCAATTCAATTCACTTGCAGAAGAATGTTTCATTTACTAAGTTTACCTGATGTACTGGCCGTCTGGAAGAAAACAAAGCTAAATACTTCCTCACATCACAAATAAAATTAATTCCACGTGGACTAGAGATCTAAAGGTAAAATGTAAAACAAATTAATAAAAGAGAAATTAGAAGAATATTGTATAAATAAGTTTAGATTGGGGAGACCTTATTAAGCAAAGCAGAAAACCAAAAAGCCATAAAGGAAAAGACAGACATAAAAATTGTAGGGGTGCTTGGGTGGCTCAGGCAGTTGAGCACTCAACTCTTGATCTTGGGGTTGTGAGTTCGAGCCTCATACTGGTGTAGAGATTACTTTAAAATAAAATTTTTTTAAGTTTATTTATTTTGAGAGAGAGAGAGAGACTATAAGCAGGGGAGGGGCAGAAAAGGGGGAAGAAAGAATCTCAAGCAGGCTCCACGCTGTCAGCACAGAGCCCCACTGGGGGCTCGAACACACAAACCAAGAGATCATGACCTGAGCCCAAACCGGGAGTCAGATGCTTAACCAACTGAGCCACCCAGGTGCCCCAAAATTTTTTAGAAAATAAAATCTTAAAAAAAAAAAAAAACTGTAGGGGCACCTGGGTGGCTCAGTCAGTTGAGCCTCCAATTTTTTTTAAGTGTTTTATTTATTTCTGAGAGAGAGAGAGACAACATGAGCAGGGGAGGGTCAGAGAGAGAGGGAGACACAGAATCTGAAGCAGTCTCCAGGTTCTGAACTAGCTGTCAGCACAGAGCCTGATGTGGGGCTCGAACTCACAAACCATGAGATCATGACCTGAGCTGAAGTCGAACGCTCAATGGACTGAGCCACCCAGGTGCCCCTCAGTTGGGCCTCTAGATCTTGACTTTGGCTCAGGACATGATCTCATGGTTCATGGGTTCAAGCCCCATACTGTGTTCACAGATTTGAGCCCCATGTGGGGCTCTGCGCTGTCAGCGGGGAGCCCGCTTGGGATCCTCTGTTCCCAGATCTCTCTGCCCCTCCCCTGCTCTCTCATACTCTTTCTCTCTCTCAAAAATAAATAAACATGAAAAAAATAGAGAAAAAAAGAAAAAAATTGTAAAACTTTTTGTAATTGTAGAAGAAATTACAAAGTTGAAAGACAGGTTGGAAAAAATACCTGTGTAACACATTTACTAGACAGTGCTTATTGTCTATGACAGGGATCTACAAACGTTTTCTATAAATGACAGACAGTAGATATTTGAGGCTTAAGGGTCATAAGGTCTCTGTTACGATTCAAGTCTGTCTTTGTAGAACAAACTCAGCTATAGACGATAAAAAAATGAGCATGGCTGTGTTCCAATAAAATTTTATGCATACTGAAAAATAGATTGAATATCATTTCCATACATCATGAAATATTCTTCGATTTTTTTCAACCATTCAATTTTTTTTAAATTTTTTTTTTAATTTCTAGGAGAGAGAGAGACAGCGTGAGCAGGGGAGGGTCAGAGACAGAGGGAGACACAGACTCTGAAACAGGCTCCAGGCTCTGAGCTGGCAGTCAGCACAGAGCTCAACGCGGGGCTCGAACCCACAAACCGTGAGATCATGACCTAAGCGAAAGTCGGACGCTTAACCGACTAAGCCACCCAGGTGCCCCAACCATTTAATTTTTTTAACACTTATTTATTTTTGAGAGAGAGAAAGAAAGAGAGAACTTGAGTGGGAGAAGGCCAGAAAGAGGAAGACAGAGGATCCAAGTAGGCTCCACAGTGAGCACAGAGCCCACCACGGGGCTCGACCTCACAAACTGTGAGATCACAACCTGAGCCAAAATCAAGAGTTGACCGGCTGCTTAACTGACTGAGCCACTCAGGTACCCCTTTATTTACCATTTTAAAATGTAAAATATTTCTTTTTTTAAAGGAATTTGGATTTTTCTTTTTTCTAATTTATTTTAAGAGAGAGAGAAGAGAGAGAGCATGCAAGGGAGGGGCAGAAAGAATCCCAAGCAGGCTCAGTGCTGTCAGCATAAAGCCCACCATGAGACTCAATCTCACCACCCATGAAATCATGACCTCTGTTGAAATCAAGAGTTGGATGCTTCACCGACTGAACCATCCAGACACCCCATAAAATGTGAAAAATATTCTTAGCTTGAAGACCTTATGGAAATAGTCAGCTGACCAATTTGGGCCCAAGGGTGATAGCTTGTGACCTCTAGTCTATGATTGTATACGAAGAGCTCCTGCAACTTCGTAGTATAAAGCAAAGGACAAAGAATGCAAGATGGAGAAAAGGAAATCCAAGTGGCCACTAGCCATTTATAATAGGATATGGAATGAGATTTTTCCTGTTATCTGGGCACAATATATGACAAATAATCCCACGTTGTAGCGAGTACTGACATGCTCTTGAAAGTTTTCTGTGAAATACCGGAGCCAGACTTTTGACAATCAGCTCCCATCCTCCACCTCCAGATAACAAGCAACTAATAATTCAGGAAAGCACTGAAAGAAAGGAGGAGAATTGGTGTCACACCTAGTCTATTTTTTGACACCCATAGAAGATTTAACTCCTCCTCTTCCATACTACATTATTTTTAACATTTATTTTTGCCACAAAATGAAACTACACCCAACATCAAAGGCTTTATGTATTTCAAAATAGACCCAAACATTCAATAACTTCCTCTTTTGCTTTTGCTTTTTCTTTCTTGGGCTCTACAGAATCAATATCTTTTCATGTAAGGACAGTGTGTCCTCTTCACACTAATGTAGGCACTGCTGTAAAAGGTATTTTGTAGATGTAATTATAGTCCGAAAACATTTGGCCTTGAGAGAGGGAAATTATCTGGGTGGACTTGACTTAATCACATAAGACCTTTAAAAACAGTTTCCCTGGCTGGTGAAGAAACTCCTAGAAAGGAATCCAGTTTGGCCAACACCTTGATTTCAGCCTTCCAGAGCAGAGAACGGAGATGTGCTATGCCCAGACTTCAGATCCCCAGAACCTTGGGCTAATAAGTGGATATTGTTTTAAGCCACTAAGTTTGTGATAAATTATTACCTAACAACAGAAAACGATTACACCCTTTATTGTTTGTACCCAAGTGGACCTGCCCTTGGTACCCGCCAGAAAGAGGCCTTTGGAGAGAGTAAGGGTTTTCCCTCTCCATCCTGCCCTTGACTCTGCTCCACATCATCTGGCTGAGGCTAAGACAGGGAGCTCTGGCTTTGCCTGGCTGCTGCCTCATCTCATTCCTTGAGTTGTGCCCTAGAAGTCTTTGGACTCTTTGGTCCAGTCTTGAGAATCACCATGTTGGTAAAACCCCATACTTTCCTTAATCAGCCTCTACCTTTGTAGGTTGGAGCTGTTTCCGTTTTTAACACTGTAATTAAGGCCACCAAAAACATCTTTGTACATAAAATTTTGCCTGGATTTTGGCTGATTTTCTTAGGATACGAAGTGTGGAGTCAAGAGCAAATGAACATCTTTAGGGCTGATATACATTACTAAACATTTCTAGAAAAACTACCACCCCACTAGGGGAGTATAATGTCTAAGGTTATTGACCTAAGCTGAGCCAATAGACTTTCTAGCTCAAAGACAGGGGATGTTTCAGGGGGAAGACGAGCTTTTCATTTTACCTCCAGACTCCCCCCCCCTTAGTGACCCACCCTCACCCCTAACTTCCAGTAGCCCACTGGGAACTTGTACTCAGAAATCCAGAGGCACCCAGAGGCACCCAAACCCAACGTGCTCAAAAAATTATGGCAATTCTCACCTTTCCTCCCTCCTCCACCCAAATGCCCCAGATTTAGAAAATGGACCCATCGCTACGGCTGGGACCAAGCTGATAACCACTGACGATAACCAACCAGATTCCCTAACGAAACCACCCTCTTAAGATAGGCGACAGCACACTGAGTGCCGGGCTGAAGGCGGGGACAGAAGGAATGACGTGCCCTCCTTCTCCCGCGCTGGGCACGGGTCTGGGAGGCTTGCGGGCGTACCCACAACAGCGCCCGCGCACCAAGGCACGACACAAGAGTGACCAACTTTCGTAACCGAGCTTCCTTAGCCCAGCAGGCGGTGCCCGAAACACACAGCCACCGCGACTGGCACGGTGACGCGATTTCAATCACGCGAGTCAAGGACACCGCGCGCGAGAACCCAGCTTCCGCGCCCTACGAGGGGCAACTGCGCAGCCGCCACAGGTGAGGCTGACCGCCGGGCCGGGACGCGAGCGCGCGGGAGGGCGCGTTGGCGTTTGTGCGCACGCGCCCCGCGCGACGCCTGGGAAGGTGGAAAAAGGAAGCAGAGAGGAAGGGGCGGGGTTGAAGCCGGGCGTTGCGCATGCGCGCTCCGCGCAAACCATTTGGCGGGTTTTCCTTGATCGCTGTTTTGCTCCAGTCATTGAGATGCTCCGCCGTAGCTTTTAGGAAGCTGGACGTTCTCTCCCGGAAGGCAGAGCGAGTTAACGAGATTTCTGCTTCCTCCCTTCGGGTGTTTAGGGGCTTCTCCCAATTAAAGTAAAGTGCTTCGCCGTGACTGACGCCTGGGACCTTCCGACCCCTTACGTCTCGGTCCCCCAAAGGGCGAAACGATCGGGGGAAGCTCGTCCTGCCCATCGATCTCCACGCCGCGGGTTCTTGGACTCCGGACCGAGCTCGGTGGGCCCGGCCCGTGGCCGACCCCCCGCCCCCCGCGTCACCATGAGCGTGTCGGCCGAGCGCCTGGTGGAGGAGCTGCAGATCTTTGACGTGGATTGCGATGAGGCTCTGGCTGAGAAATGTGAGTCCCTCGCCTCCGCCCCGGACCCCAGCGGAGCTCCACGCTCGCTCTCCGTGTGCCGAGTCACGTAGAACCCGGAGGGGGGACCTTCCAAGCCCCACCTCCCCTAGATCGGACCTCTTGGGCGGTGGGAGATGAAGAGTGAAGGCAGGTGTTGCGATTTGGGATGTGGGGCCTTGGAAATGTTTGCAGCGGAATCTCGGGTCCCAACTCGAAAATAGGAATGCGAAGCACCGCTTTAGATCAGCGCAGTTTCGGAAAGGTGCACTTGGGACATGCCAGGTTCAGACTAGGCCCGGTGGCACGAGCTGGGAAATTATTTGAGCCTCCGGAACTGAGCGAGAGATGGGGGGGGGGGGCTTGCAGTGTGGCTCTGTATTCCTGGCTCCTCCCTTTCCAGCCTTCACTTTAAACTGCTGATCCGCGGTTTCCCAGCAAAGCTGTTGATGGCCTGTGCAAATGTGAATCCCCTGAGCTGGGTTCCGAGAACTGAATTTGAGCTTTGGTTAGAACTGTGGGGAGCTTGTCAGCTGTTTATCGAGGGAGAAACAGACAAGGAGACCAGCCTGAGCTGGTCTCTGAACCCCAGTCTCCTTTCCTTAAGTCCAGTGCTCACCATCATTGGTCAGGCTCTGGGGCAAGAGCTGTTTTTAATATATAAAACCAGAATGCAAACATGTTGACTTATCACGAGATGCCAGAATATTCCACGTTCAGATGCCCAGTGCGCTGTTTTCCAAGATGCCTGTTGCCTGCATCTCATAGAACTACTTTGGTAGTGGCGTTGGAACTCTAGGCTTTGAATTCATGATCACTAGCCTCAGGGGGACTCTCACATTGCCGGTCAGACCGTATTTCCCTGATCTCTTCCCTTCTGCGTGTCCTGGATGACGTTTTTGCCACTTTCTCCTCCTTTTAACATCTTTCTGCCCCACTCAAAAGCTGATGAACTTCTTGTTTCACCAAGAAAATAGAAGTAATTGGAAAACTTCCATAAGCTGCCACCATTCTTTCTTCCCACCTACCTCTCCTTCCGTCCTATTGCCATAAATAAACTCTGCATATTCCTAGCAAAATCCAAACCCTCCATTTGAGTCCTAAATCCCATTCTTTCTCACCCTCTTAAGAACATCACCCCAGTAGGGGCGCCTGGGTGGCTTAGTCGGTTGAGCGTCCGACTTTCGCTTAGGTCATGATCTCGCAGTTCATGGGTTTGAGCCCCGCGTCGGGCTTTGTGCTGACTGCCCGCTCAGAGCCTGGAGCCTGTTTCAGTCTGTGACTCCTTCTCTCTCTGACCCTCCCCTGCTCACGCTCTCTCTCTCTCCTAGAAATAAATTAAAATATTAAAAAAAAAAAAAAAAAGAACATCACCCCAGTAATTCTAAACTCTTAAGTGTTTTCCATTTTTCTCGCTCTGAGAGTGTTTTCCCTAATAGCATAGAAATGTGATTCTTGCTCCACTTTAAAAAAAAAGAAGTTTATTTGTTTTGAGAGAGAGAGAGCAGGGAAGGGGAAGAGAGTGAGGGAGAGAGAGAGAATCTCAAGCAGGCTCTGCACTGTCAGCACGGAGCCGGATTCGAGGCTCAAAACTCATGAGCCACTGGTTTCCAGCCCCACATCGGGCTGTGTGCTGACAACTTGGAGCCTGGAACCTACTTCAAATTCTGTATGTCCCTCTCTCTCTGTACCTTCCCCGCTCACACTCTATCTCTCTCTCTCTCAAAAATAAATAAACACTAAAAAACTAAAAACAAAACTAAACAAAAACTTATGAGCCACGAGATCATGACCTGAGTGGAAAACTAGAGTCCGATGTTCTGACTGAGCTACCCAGGTGCCCCCTTACTCCGCTTTTAAAACATTCTATCGACCCCCCGCCCTGCCCCATTCCAATTCTTTCCTCCCCAATTATACCAAACCTCCTCAAAAGGATTGTCTATATTAGCTTCGATTTTTTTTCCTCCTTAAGCCCATTTGAGGAAGCTTTTTCACCCCCAATACTTTGCTGAAACTGCTCCTCTCAAGGTCACCAGTGACCTTCACCTCGCTAAAGTCGGTGGTGAATTTTCAGTCCTTGTCTCAAATTAGCAGCATTTGATGGTCATGTCACCTTTGAAGCGCGTTTTTCTTCAGCTTCTTAGACACTACACCTCGTTTTCTTACCTTGGCTGTCACCACTTCTCAGGCTCGTCCTGAGCCCCAAATGAGCCCCTTAGTGATTGATCCCAGCTGCTCTTGTGGTTTTTCATCCCATATTTTTCATCTCATTGCTCATGAGTCCCAGGTGTATATCTTAGCCTGGACCTCTTGCAAAACTGCAGGCTGGTCCATCCAACTGCCAGTGGATATTTATTTATTTTTTATTAAAAAAAATTATTTTAATGTTTTATTTATTTCTGAGAGAGAGAGACAGCGCAAGCAGGGGAGGGGCAGAGAGAGAGGGAGACACAGAATCTGAAGCAGGCTCCAGGCTCTGAACTGTCAGCAGAGCCCGATGCGGGGCTTGAACCCACGAACCGTTAGATCATGACCTGAGCCAAAGTCGGACGCTTAACTGACTGGGCCCCCCAGGCGCCCCTCCAGTGGGTTTTTAATTGGCACCTCAAACTGTATGTGTCTAAAAACCAAGCTCCTGTATATCCTCCCCGTCTTCCCAGTAATTCCTCTGCTGCATCGTCCTTGACTCCTTTTTTTCTTCACATCAGCAAATCCCACTGGCCTTACCCTCAGGATGCTTCCCACCTAGAGTCCAACCGCTTCTTCCCCACCTCCACTGCCTCCACCTTGATCCAAGCCACCATCACCTCTCACCTGCATTTTGCCATAATTCTCTCTCTGTCCCTCTCTCTCTTTTGTTTTGAGAAACAGAATGAGTCTTAAGCAGGCTCCATGTTCGGCGCACAGCCCGACATGGGGCTCCATCTCACGACTGTGAGATGGTCACCTGAGCCCAAATCAGGAGTCAGACGCTTTACCAACTGAGCCGCGCAGGCGCCCTGCCATGACTCTCTTAATTGGCCCCCCCGAATCTGCCCTTGTCCCCTTTAGTCTACCCTTAACACAGCATCCTGTGTAATCCTGTTCAGTGGAAGGTGGATCATGATACTGTTCTGTCCAAACTCTGTAGCGATTTTCCAAGTTGCTCAGAGTACTAACCAGGCCAGCAATCTGCATGCCCTTGACCCTTGAGCTCACCTTCTGTCTCCTGCGTCCCTGTATCCCAGCCATAGTAGCTTTGCTGATCTTGCTTCTACATCAGGATCTTTGCTTGAAAGCTCCTTCCCTGAATACTGCACGCCTCACTTCCGGTCTTCACTCTAGTGCCGCCTCCTCAATGAAGCCTGCCCTAATCATTGTGTTGAAAATTACCACCCCCTGCCCACGACCCCCTGATCCCTTCCCAAGCTTTATCTTTCTACATAGCACACTTAACCGTCTAGCATACTACAGATTTTACTTGTTTTCTGTCTCCAGTAGTAAGCTTCGTGGAGACCAGGATTCGTTTTGTTTGCTGCTATATTCTCATGCCTGGAACAGTGCCTGGCCCTAGTGGGTGCTGAATAAATATTGATTGAATAAATAGAGGATTATTTTCACTTTTCAAGGGGAAGGCTGCAAGAAATGAACTGAGTTCTTACCCGTCCAATTTTCCTTCCTACAGTGGTAGAGCTGTGCATTCTGTACGGGCAGAGCGAGGAGAAAATGGCCACTGAGGTTATAGCCTTCTGCACCAGCACAGGTAAAGTTTGCCTGACCTCAGAGATCCTGAACTCTTTTGAGCATGAGGTAAGAACAACATGTAAGGAAACTAATCATGAACTTCTCCACTTCTGCTCCTGAGGGAAGGCGTTGTGATGTATTGAGGAAAGCATGGGCGTTAGAATCAGGTCTGGATTCTGGGCCTCTGTTTCCTCTTCTTTGGGTTCTAATAACCCATATTTTTTTATAGTTATTGGAAGAATTAAACAAGCGTGGGTGTAAATCACCTAACGCAGTATATGTCAGGTGGTAGGTCGTCAACAAATCATTGGTTTTATTATTAGAATTAGTAAGTCACTGGATAACTCTTTGTTTTTAGTCTATCTTGCATCTTAATTCTTTGACAAATTTTAGATCTATGTGATATTTTGAATGCCTGTTACTACTTCATGGCTGTGAAAAACGCCGCCTCTGTTACTTGACCAAGCAATAATATATTCCTTATTGTTTATTCCTCAGTGTCTGAGCAAAAGATTGCCCAAAGCCCCACACAGAGCCTCCAGGGATGGTGGGCACGCCGGAGCTAGAGACATTATTTCCATCCAAGAGCTGTATCCTTTTCTTCCGAAGGTCTTTGCATCAAGCCACGTGCTCTATTTCATAATTTGTGTAATTTTAAAACAAATAACGGGTGTCTGCGTGGCTCCGTCAGTTGAGCATCTGACTCCAGCTTGGGTCACGATCTCATGGTTTGTGGGTTCGAGCCCTGCATCGGATTCTCTCTCTCTCTCTCTCTGCCCATCCCCCACTTGTGTGTGTGCATATGTGCACTCGTGCATGTGCGCACACTCAGAAATAATAAATGAGGGGCGCCTGGGTGGCTTAGTCGGCTAAGCGTCCAACTTTCGCTTAGGTCATGATCTCGCGGTTCGTGGGTTCGAGCCCTGCATCGGGCTCTGTGCTGACTGCCAGCTCAGAGCCTGGAGCCTGTTTCAGAGTCTGTGTCTCCCTCTCTCTCTGACACTCCCCTGCTCACGCTGTCTCTCTCTCTCTCTCCTAGAAATAAATAAAAAATTAAAAAAAAAAAATAAATGAATTAACTTAATAAAATAAGGAAAAACAAATAATAAAAAGTACCTACCGGGGCGCCTGGGTGGCTCAGTTGGTTGAGCATCTGACTCTTGATTTTGGCTCAGGTTATGATCCCAGGGTTGTGGGATCTCATGTTGGGCTCTGTGCTGAGCACAGAGCCTGCTTGGGATTCTCTCCTTCTCCCTCTGCCCCTTTCCCCCACTTGCAGGCATGCGCGCGCTCTCTCTCTCTCTCTTGCTCGCTCTCTCTCACACAAATAATTTTTTTAAGTACCTATTAAGTAGGTTTCTTATTTAATCAACCAGTGCCTTAGATTTCGGGTGGAAGCTTGTTTTCCTTAAACACTGTTTTTAGAATTGAAGTGGAAGAAGAAGAAGAGACCCTCTTGAATTCTTACACCACACCCTCTAAGGTGAGTGTAGTGTTTGGAAATGCTTTCTATACGTAGCATTTGTTTTCTCTCTTATAAAAACATTCAAACGTTGTCGCGACGTTTGAAGTTCTGAGGGAGCAGACGAATCGCGTCTTCCTGCCATGTCTTCCTTTCCCATCTCAGGCATAGATACGCTTACATAATGGCAGTCCTTGTGACCGTGAAGCTATCCTAGCGGATCACGAAGTGTTTATAAATACAGTTTCTCCATAATTACTCTTTGTAAAAGTTACAGGGTGTTGTATCCGGTGCAAGTCCTATAATCGAATAATCCAGTTCTGGCGTTGGATCCCAGCGTGAGAGGTAGGACAAGGTAGTGGAGAGCATGGCCCTCAACGCCTGAGTCAAGACACCTAGGTGACCTTGGGCGAGTTGTTTTATCGGAGCTGCAGTTTCCTTAGCTACACAGTCACGATGCTTCTGTTCATTACTGGGCAGCTGCTGTGTGCTGGGCACTGTTCTGGATGCTGGGTAAACAGTGGTGATGAAACGAACTGGGCTCTGCCCTCAAGAAGCTTACAGTAAATGTGTAGAAACTCAAATGTGGAGCAAGCCTTAATTTTTCAAAGTAAGTTACACTGTGAGAAAGAAGGGGGGCAGTTGCGGGGTGCCTGTGGCCAGCAGGAAAGCTAAAAATGTGCCCCGTGGACTTGCTGGCACAAAATAGGCATGCGCCCCAGACCGTGGACTTGTGCAATTTCCCTTAGCTTAAAATGGAAGAGATCTGAAACCAGCACTTGACTTTCCCCCCGAGATGGGCTTGTGCTAGAGCCCACCTCTTACTAAAAGGTACCTCCGCTCTCGTATTTGTCCAGGCCAGGAACCCCGGAGACCTCCCCCAGTCTTCCTTCTCACTCACGCCCCACATCCACCTCCTCTGCCAGTCTTGTCGGGCCTCCTTCCAGAATCCATGCCCTCTCCCCCTGTCCAGTGGGACCTGTCCCCGCCAGGCCCACAGCACCGTCGTCCCCCGAGTGAGCGGGACAGCTCCCCGACCTGGCTTCCTTCACTCTGTCCACCTCTACGCAATTCACACAACAGTCGGCGCCCCGTGCTCCCTTCGGATGCCAGTGAGGCTAGGTTTTCCTGCTCACGGCTCTCCACCGGCTCTCCCATCTTCCCTGATCACACGCGGAAGGGGTGTGAGGGTCTGTCCTGAGTTGGCCCTGTTCCCTTGCCTTCCCACCCTCCTCCTCACTCCGGTGGTCTTGCTGCCCTTCAGACATACCGCGCATGTCCACCTCCTGTGCCCCCCGACAGAACAAACCTGCCTCCTAGAGAAAGCCCCTCCTCTTTCCCTCCATCTTCTTTTCTTCCTCTCCTTTTCTCTGTGGAACCTATTACCATGAGATATGTTATATATTTACTTCTTTGTTTTAGTCCCTTACAACAGAAGTTCCTTGGGGCCCCTGGGTGGCTCAGTCGGTTAAGCGTCTGACTTCTCAGGTCCTGATCTCACAGTCCGTGAGTTCGAGCCCCAAGTCAGGCTCTGTGCTGAAAGCTGTGTGCCAAGCCTGGAGCCTGCTTCAGATTCTGTGTCTCCCTCTCTCTCTACCTGTCCCCTGCTTGTGCTCTGTCTCTCAAAAACAAATAAAAATGTGAAGGAAAAAAAAAAGAAGGGAACCTCCTTGCAGACACATTGCTTTATTCGCTGCTGTTTGCCCAGAGCCTGGCACAGTGGCAGTTGTTGAAGGACATCTCTTCTGGATAAGCACCGTCACCTGGCTCCCTGTGTAGGACCAACCAGAATTGCGGGACCCAGTAGGGCTGCCACGTGTTGATCTGACTGACCACCTCACAGCTCCAGAATGTATCTGCTCTGTCCGTATGTCCAGAGTTGATCATGTTCTTGGGGACTGACTCATGGTAACCCAGCTCTAGACTGACACATAGATCAGATGCAAATTCACTTGACTTAGTGCAGAAGACATCCTACCGAGGGCACCCGTTCCTGCTACAAAGGCATTTGGGGGCTCAGTTATGACTTATACTTGGTGACCAAGGAATCAGAGTTGAGTAAGTCGGACTGAAATGAGCAAACGATATGAAATGTGTCCGAAGCCCAGGGGAGACACCGTATGGGTCGTGCTAGAGAAATGTTAAATGCTTAGAGCAAAAGCTGGCACACAGAAAGTGCTTGATCGGAGCTGGGCCACACGGTGGTGGCCTCCTGACAAAGTAGTCACAGTGCCAGACTTGGTCTTTCCCACACGAACGGTGCCACAGTGCGGTCGCCAGGCCCTTGTCAGGTCTGAGGGGCAGACGTACCTGTGCTATAGGGGGTGAATGTTCCAGTGGCCTTAGTTTATCATCATTAACTATTTGGGTTTTTTTTTTTTAATGTTTTATTTATTTCTAGAAGAGAGAGAGACAGCGTGAGCAGGGGAGGGTCAGAGAGAGAGGGAGTCACAGACTCTGAAACAGGCTCCAGGCTCTGAGCTGGCAGTCCGCACATAGCCCAACGCGGGGCTCGAACCCACGAACCGCGAGATCATGACCTAAGTGAAAGTCAGACGCTTAACCAACTAAGCCACCCAGGCGCCCCAATCATTAACTATTTGTGCAGTCGACAGCTACTCTTTCGCCTCCATGCTCGCCACAAATCCTGTGGTTACGGTCTGGCTTTCTTCACGCCCTGCCTGACAGGGAGAGAACGTGTTAGTCCGAGGATTTGAAGCTCCCATGCTACCAGTGTCATATTTCTATTAAATTAATAAAGTGACATCCTTGGCTGTCACGTGGGTTTCTGTGAGGCGTGAGAATGTGCTCATCCCGGGACCTGGGAATGTGGTGCCCTTGGTCCCTTGTGTTCCTTGCTGCAAATGACTACTGGTGTGTAGTGTGGGTAGATCTCGTGAGCTCGGTTAGAGTGCATCCCCTAGAAGCTTACCTGGAGTTGGGTTGTTGACACGATCAGGTTTCGCTACGAGGGCTGAGGACGAGCCCCTTGAGACTGCATCATCTCCCAAAGTAACATCCTCTTTTTTTTTTTCTTTTTACAAATAGTTTATTGTCAAGTTAGTTTCCATATAACACCCAGTGCTCATCCCCACAAGTGCCCTCCTCCATGCCCATCACCCCACACACACACCCATCAGTCCTCAGTTTGTTCTCAGCATTCAAGAGTCTCTCATGGTTTGCCTCTCTCCCTCTCCCCCACTATTTCCCACTCTTTTTTTTTTTTTAATGTTTATTTATTTGGGGGCAGAGAGAGACAGAGCATGAGCAGAGGTGAGGCAGAGAGAGTGGGAAACAGAATCCGAAGCAGACTCCAGTCTCCGAGCTGTCCGCACAGAGCCCGATACAGGGCTCGAACCCAGGAACCGCGAGATCGTGACCCGAGCCGAAGTCAGACACTTAACCAACTGAGCCACCCAGGCACCCCTCCCAGAGTAACATCCTCTCCCCACGTCCTAGGAGACAGACAGTTTTTCTCTTGACATACTCCAGGGGCACCTGGGTGGCTCAGTCGGTTGGGCAGCCGAATTCAGCTCAGGTCATGATCTCCTGGTTCATGAGTTTGAGCCCCACGTCAGGCTCTGGGCTGACAGCTCAGAGCCTGGAGCCTGCTTCAGATTCTGTGTCTCCCTCTCTCTCTGACCCTTCCCGGCTCACACTGTCTCTCTCTCTCTCTCTCAGAAATAAGTAAAAAACATTAAAAAACATTTTTTAATAATAAAAAATAAAAATGGTTATTATGGATTGGGCCACAAAGGTCTCCAGTGGCAGACAGGAAGCAGAGGGGCGCAAAAAAAAAAAAAGAAAAAAATGCTTATTATATAAAATAGTGGTAGCATAAGGGTCTTTTTAAAATCTAATTTCTGGAGCGCCTGGGTAGCTTAGTCGGTTAAGCATCTGACTTTTGCTTAGGTCATGATCCCGCGGTTCGTGGGTTCGAGCCCCACATCGGGCTCTGCGCTGACTGCCAGCTCAGAGCCTGGAGCCTGTTTCAGTCTGTGACTCCCTCTCTGACCCTCCCCTGCTCACGCTGTCTCTCTCTCTCTCTCCTAGAAATAATAAATACATAAATACATAAATAAAATCTAATTTCCATTTCGGCTACTTAATGATGGTCTTGAGTCCGTCTTCTTAAGTTCCATCCCGGGGCATCCCCCGCAGACCGCTGTGGTGGCATAACTTCCGTCCACAGCCAGGGGGAGCCCAAGGGCAGGGAGTCCTCTGCAGACCCGCCAGCCTCCCGGCTGTGGTCCCAGCAAGAGTTTTGTCTTTGCTCTGCCACAGTCGGCTATTCTAGACTGTGGGGAGCAACAGATCTCTGAGCTACGAGCTTCATCCTCCATCCTGGGCATATCTTTGGATTCTTGTTGATGAGCAAAATCCAGAAAACAGAGGGGACCCGTCAGTGAGGTGTTTGCTAAATAGTCTCCTGCTATGAGCGCGGCCATGTTATGTGCCCGCAGTCGTGCCCACCTGTGATGTTGAAAATGTGCGGTGGACTTTGTAAAGTGAGTAGTAACGCGGTCCCACCCCTTCTGAGGAAACCGTGTCCGCACAGGTCAAAGCCATGCGCATTGCAGAACTCAGCAGCTGTTCTAAAGCCTAGAGGTGGGAAAAGAGAACAACCCCGTGAACAATTGGACGGGACAGATTGCTTGTTCTGGGAAATGTCGGTACTTTTTCATTATTGCCTTCAAAATGGGGACGGGATTCTGATGGATCTTGGGGATACCTGCTGAAGATGGCCATGTGGCCTTATGCTTGGAGGTGGGGCCTTAAGAACAGAACCAACCCGGTCCTACCTTGTGCCCTGCATGTGGGCACCCGCTTCTCTTCCTAAGGGGCCGCGTACACTCAGTTAGCAACTTGGATCTGCAGTGCCTGAGATTCTGTTTTCTGTTTTGTTCCTAGGGCTCTCAGAAGCGAGTTATCACCACCCCAGAAACCCCCCTAACAAAAAGGACGGCGTCTACTAGGAGCCCCCATCAGCTCCTCTCGCCGTCGAGTTTCTCTCCGAGGTACGGGTCAGAATTAACCCGGCTGCCAGACAGCAGGCGTGCCCTCCCCGTTTTCTGGTCATCGGGTGGCCGGCTCTCCGGAGCAACCCGACTAAATGCGGGTGGGCATGTACCGCCGCGGTGCCTGGCCGAGAGTCTCTTTGCTCCCTGCCCTCACTGCCTTCTTTCTCTTCCTGTGTGGAAAGTTACCGTGTCTTCCAGTAGTTAAGGAAACTCACTTTCCACCCCCTTTTCTAAGGCTCATTTCCTAGATCAGGAACTGAGATCTTCGATGGAAAACAACCTACCTATTCAGAAGTCCTGCAGTCTTAGGAGCCTTGCCAGTAGAGATGAATAGGTTCCCACCTGCCTCTGTTGGTTCATGTGTTGTTGGGTTTCTTCTTCTCCTCTTAAGCTGAAGTATTTATTTTTAAAAATGAAAAGCACGTCCCTGTGTTCCTAATGTTATGTAACCTGTTTATTGTTCCCCTCTCAGGTTACAGCTAGTTGCTTGTCACTGTGAATCTATACGGACCTAATGGGCATTTTTATCCCCGCTGCCACCTCCATACGTAAAGCCACGAAGGTCACGTGTGGGTTTGTTGAAATTTGTAAATGACCTGTCTCTTGCTGGAAAGTCCCGTAGGTGAGGGCCCTGGAGAGTCCTGTAGGTGAGGGCCCTGGAGAGTCGGAGAAAGGTTTTGGCGCGGCCACATGAGGATGAGGCTAAGGAACAGTCAGGCTAAGCATTTAGGGAAATACTGGCCGTCGGGGGTCACTGCCTGCCCTTCCGGTCACGTCTTCCAGATGCGGCAGAGCATGAGGTTTGCCAGCTCCTCTTTAGGAAGGAGGTGATCACAGTCGTTCAGGATGAGCAGGCCTTGACTCTGAAGGGCAGTTAACTCCAGTGTGGTCCACTCCTGCTCTCGGGTTTCGGGCATGAGCTTTCTAGACTTCCAAGGGCATCTGTGAAACTTGGCATAGAGGGGCGCCTGGGCGGCTCAGTCAGTTAAGCATCCGGTTTCAGCTCAGGTCATGATCTCCCGGTCTGTGGGTTCGAGCCCCGCGTCAGGCTCTGTGCTGACAGCTCAGAGCCTGGAACTGCTTCAGATTCTGTGTCTCCCTCTCTCTCTGCCCCTCCCCTACTCGTCCTCTGTCTCTCTCTCAAAAATAAATAAACGTTAAAAAATATTAAAAAAAAAAAAAAGAAACATAATGTAGAGACTTGGTTCTCATGAGCTGAACCAGCACTACCACGGCGGTTATAATCTCTAAATAAGCAGTCGCCTGAAACATCGTGGCATCAAAGGGCCCGCGACAACAGCTGTCCCTCGGAGCTGCTCTGGGAGGAGCCCTGAGAAGTTGGCGATGCGCTGCCCAGGCATTTTTTTAAACGCACACTAATAAAGCTGACGTCAGAGACCGGTTTGGTAATTAATGAAAGTAACTTCTAAATTGTTTAGGTAGAGGCGGCCCCGGAGAGCGAGGTGATTAATTGAGCTCGTTTTCTGTAGCCTGTCTGTCAAATGCGGACTGATAGTGCCAGTTGCAATGTCGCCCACGTAAAACTGCTTCCTGCAGGGTCCCGGTGCGTTAAACGAAGACCGTTTGAAATCGACCCCTTTGTAAGCTGTGTGCACAACCAGGGGATTAGAGGCCAGCTAAGCTGTCCGGCAACATTCGTGCGTTCTTGTTTGCCCGTCAGTGAGCAGAAATAGGAGGACTCGTCAGTTGAGCCTTGCAGAATGGGAATGTTTATTCACCAACTGACCGAATTCATTCCCTCTCCACCCTCGTAGACACTGGGGAACGTTGATTAATTCCTGTTAACTGTGTTTTATTGGGGTGTCTACCTCGAACTCCATCGTGAGGTATTAGGCGTAGGCAGCAACTTTGGGCTTATCCGCAGCTAGGCTCTAATGGTATTCTAATAAGTGCTAAAAACAAAACATCGTCAGAAAGAAAAGAAGGTGGTACTTGAAACTTGTTTTTTAATCAGTTTAGCGTTTGGTTTGGTTTGGTTTGGTTTTGCTTTGTTTCATTTTAAGCCAGGAAAAAATCCTTTAAAATCTGGCTCTGTCTCTAAACTTACCCTCATTCCTGAAATTCCTTAAAGGTCTGGGTATGTCCAACCCCGTTAAGCTGATTAGATTTATAAAATGTGAGGCCAGCTTGATGTTTCTCCAGTCCCTACTTCCCAAAGGTGACCTCGTTTTATTCCTCTCCCTCTTTAGATATGAATATAGTAACATTTATCTGTTTTGCTTCCAATCAGTGCTACTCGCTCTCAGAAATACAACTCGAGAAGTAACCGCGGAGAAGTGGTTACCTCCTTTGGCTCAGCACAGGGAGTGTCTTGGTCTGGAAGAGGAGGGGCCAGCAATTTCAGCCTGAAGGTCTTGGGGTGTCCGGAGGCACTAACCGGGAGCTACAAATCAATGTTTCAGAAGCTTCCAGATATTCGAGAAGGTGATTCTTTTTCCCTTTGAAATTCTGGAGGGGCGTCTGAGTGGCTCAGTTGTTGAATGTCCGACTTTGGCTCAGTTCATGATCTCATGGTTCATAGGTTCGAGTCCCTCTGTGCTGACAGCTCAGAGCCTGAAGCCTACTTCAGATTCAGTCTCCCCCTCTCTCTGCCCCTCCCCCGCTCACACTCTCTCTCCCTGTCTCTCCCTCCCTATCTCTCTTTCTCTCTCTCTCTCTCTCTCTCAAATAAAACATTTTTTAAAATGTATTAAGAAAGAAAGAAAGAAGTTCCAGAGAATATAAAAACACCTGAAAAGATGTAGAGTGAGTACCAAAGCTTTAGCGAGGCTGGGAGAACAAGCCCAAGGTTGCCTTTTAATATGGAAGCCGGTAGGTGTTAGTGGAGGGACATGAGACATGCTCTCAGTAATTCTCCCACATCACTGAGAAAAGTGCTAAAGAGAAAGTGCGTAACCATTTCCCAGTGACAGCCGCTTGAACCGTGTAGAAGAAGCCAAGGTCAAAGACATTTACAGTTTCTTCCTTGTAAAAAATGGAAGACACCCCAGGTTGGGCTTGGCTCCCCCTAAACCTCTCTGATGACCAACACGAAAGGAAGGCCGGGTCTTGGGGAATCCGTGCTGACTCTCAGGTAGGGATTCTGCCACCCGCTAGGTGGCCGAATGGAAGGCCACTTAGAAATGCATCCTGGACACCGTCCTGCTTCTGTGAAATGACTAACTTTAATATCTTGCAGCGTGCGGTATTCTCTCCACTTGGCAAGTGGAATGTCCTAAACACAACACTTTTTCCCCTCTGGGATTTCAGTTCTGATCTGTAAGATCGAAGAACTCGGCAGTGAACTCAAGGAACATTACCAGATTGAGGCTTTTACTCCCGTTCTGGTCCCAGCTCAAGTAAGAATTGTTCTATTAGTTCTCTCCAGTTACTGTTGTACTTTTTAACTGACTGAAGAACAGCTTTCAGGAGCTCTCAGGTTTTATGACCAGAGACAGTCATTTTCTTTACACTTGGATTAGGGGCTTGAACGCAAAGACTGAGGCCTTTTCCTTTTAGTGGTAAGGCAGGTAGCCCCCTGGAGATTTCCCACAAATAGAAGCATCCAATTATCGGGATGTGAGGACAACAGCAAGGATAGGGTTTCCAGAAACGGTGACACCTAGTCCCCCCTAGTCTGGTCGTTGGCCTTATGGACCAGCTATTGCCAATAGTATCTTTAATTGTGATTTCATCTGGCTTATGGGCCAGTGCTTTCTCTCTAAAACATTTTTTAATCTAAGGGGGAATATGTTCTACAACATTCATTATGGTGTCTCTGTCATTATTTGCATTCAGAGAAGATTGGCCGATTGAGGAAGATATGCCATGTCACAGAAGGAAGTTTGGGAGGAATTGGGAGGAAGTAGTGGAGGGGACAGGGGACGCAGGATCTTGTGGGAAAAGATTAGACTTCCTCAGTCGGCTCCCCAGGAGTGGGAACAGGATGGAGGAAGCCCCGGGGAGAGAAATTTCAGCTCAATTCAAAGAAGAACTTCCTGTTAAGAGACGATACATTATATGGTTAAAGATCTGGCTCGGGAGCCAAACTTCAGACCCAGACTTTACCCACTCTCTGACCTTGACTAAATTATGTAACCTGTTGGGCTGATTTTTCTCGGTTGTAAAGTGAGTACAATAACAGTATCCACTCCACCATTGTTGTGAAAATTAAATAGGTTAATACACATAAGCCTGTCGACCAGACCAGTGCCTGATGTTCCGTGAGCTCAGTAGATGTGAGCTATTATTGTTAATAGTTGAAACTCTCCAGAGGTGCGGTGGGCTGCCTGAGGGTGCACGTTTCCCTTTCCTTGATGCTCGAGTTTAGGTCACCACTCAGAGGGGCTCAAACATGGGGGTGAGGGGGGTGCTACAGACAGACCAAATGCCAGTTGAGTGTTCGTTCTTCTGCCCTGAGAGGCAGTGGTGATTCTTGTCAGTGTGATGCCCCCCCAAAAAAAAATATTTGCCGTTTGGGATTTGCTTTGTGATTTAGTCTATTGACCTCAGGTTTTGGGCTCCTGTCCCAAAGACTGTCACTCTTGTGTTATACCTTCGGTAGGAGCCTGTCACTCTGCTGGGCCAGATTGGCTGTGACACCAACGGGAAGCTGAACAGCAAGTCTGTGATTCTCGAGGGAGACCGGGAACATTCCTCAGGGGCTCAAATTCCAGTGGATTTATCTGAGCTCAAAGAATATTCTCTGTTTCCCGGACAGGTAAGACAGGGTGCACGGGGGCTGTTTACCCTGTGGTACGTGGGGTGGGCTGCGGCCCTGGCAACAAGCGTTCCGTCACCGGCTGCCTCTCACTTTCAGCCTGTGGCGCCAGGGGGTATGGCTGGAGACCAGGCCCAGGAGCGTGGGGATTCCAGCCTCCCCCCCGCCGCCCTATGCCCTGACCTCGGCTCTGGGATCCACTGCCAGGGTCCAGCTCCACCCCATAAGGTGTGTCATTCTGACCACATTCCTTTTCCTCTTGAGGCCAGAGTGTCCTCATCTTTAACAGAGGAATAATAGTTCTTAGCTCATAGGATCGTTATGAAAAATTAGGTCATCTGTATAGAGCATAATTATTATTACTAATATAACCCCTTTAATTTGTTTTCTTTCTTTTTTTTAACTTTTTTATTTACTTTGAGAAGAAGGGAGAGAGAGAGAGAGAGCACAAGCAGGGGAGGGGCTGAGAGAGAGAGAGAGAGAGAGAGAGAGAGAGAATCCCAAGTAGACTCTGAACTGTTAGTACAGAGCCCCATGTGGGGCTCAAACTCACAGACCATGAGATCATGACCTGAGCCGAAACCAAGAGTCAGACACTTAACCAACTGAGCCACCCAGGCACCCCAGCCCCTTTAATTTGTTTTCTAAAAAAGTACCCCCACATTTACAACCATAAAATGAGACAGCTGGACTTAGTACCTAATTTTTTTTTTTTAAGTAAACTACCCCCAACATGGGGCTCAAACTCCCAATCCCAAGGTCAAGGGTCTCATGGTCTACCCACTAAGCCAGCCAGGCGCCCCGATACTTAATGATTCTTAACTGCATCAAAATAGTTGATTGCTGACCTATCATTTATGTCCCGTTCTGTTTCTCGTCCTCTAGGTCGTAATTCTGGAAGGAATCAACACCACGGGTAGAAAACTTATCGCCACCAAACTGTACGAGGTACCCCGGCGGTTGCCCCCCCTCCCCTTCTGCTGCAGGCGCACTACATGCAGTTCTGACTGTCCCGGAAACCCATCCTCCTTGAGAGCCTAGCTGTGGCTATTTGCTTCTCAGTTCTCTATAAAATGGGAAACTACCTCTAGGCCAGGGGCCAGCAAACCGTTTCTGTATTTCGGGCTAATTTACAGGCCATATGGTCTCTGTCACAGTGACTCAGTTCTGCCGCCGTGGCACAAAAGTGCCATAGACACCTGTAAGCCAGCGAGGGTGGCGGTGGCGGTGTGCCAGGGAAACACGGGCAGTGGCCGGATTGGGCCCACAGGCCCTGCTTTACCTACCCCCGCGCTGGGAAGTCTCAGACTCCCTGCTGTGCGGTCCTGGCCTAGCGAGCTGGCACTTCAGGTGCCTGTCTTGCTCCCGCTCTTTGCTGGATGTTATACTATGAGATTGGCCGTGACCCCCCCATCATGTGGATCTCTTTGCCGCTCAGCCACGTAGAAGAATGGCGGGTGCTCAGGTCTGTGAGCTTTCAGTTCCACAGAGCAAGACTGAGGCTGCTTTCTTAGACATCTCAGCCCTCCCTCCCCCCCTCAAGTGCTATCCTCCCCTCCCCACCTGTTCAGGGGCCACCCCTTCTTTTAACCAAAGATGGTGCCTGGGGTAAGGCCTCAATTTAGCTCTTCTCCTGTCTTTAAGGGTGTGCCGCTTCCGTTTTATCAGCCCACCGAAGAGGACGAAGGTAAGTCTGGGGCCGAACATTGTTTTGCTAGCCGTGAATATGGTGGACGAGGGTCCAGGTTCCGCAGGCCCTGAGAGAACTGCAGAGGCTGCCTGGGAGCGCCCTGCGGAGGCCAGGGGTGACGGCAGATGGGTGGCCCAGGGGCACTTCGCGGAGGGCCAGGTTCCTAGCCCAGGTTCCTAGCCCAGTGAGCGTTGCCACCTGGGTTCCGGCTGCAAGAGGCATGCACACCATTTGTATCTGGAAGTTACTTAATGAGAGAAAAAATAAGAATCGTTTATATAAAAGAATTTCTTCTAATGCACTGTGGGATCCTGGAAGAGAAAAGGCACATTAGTGGAAAAGCTAGTAACACCCCAAATAAAGTCAGGAGCCAAGAGTAGTAAGCTAGCGTTAATCCCTACGTTTTGACAAATGCACCGCAGTCAGGATGTCGGCATTATGGGCCTCGGAACAGATGTAGACAGGAACTTGGTGCTGTCTTCGCAACTTTCGTATGTTTCTAAAGTTATTCCAAAATAACAAGTTTACTTAAAAATAAGATGAATTTATGGGGCGCCTGGGTGGCTCAGTCGGTTGGGTGGCTGATTTCGGTTCAGGTCATGATCTCGCAGTCCGTGGGTTCGAGCCCCATGTCTGGCTCTGTGCTGACAGCTCAGAGCCTGGAGCCTGCTTTAAATTTTATGTTTCCCTCTCTCTCTCTCTCTCTCTGCCCCTACTCTGCTCATGCTGTGTCTCTGTCTCTCTCTCTCAAAAATAAATAAAACAGTAAAAAAAATTAGACGAATTTAAGAAACAGAACGTAGAGGAAGGGAAGGAAAAATATAAACAGAGAGGAAGGCAGACCAGAAGAGACTATTAAATACAGAGAACAAACTGAGGGTTGATGGAGGGGGTGTTGGGTAGGGTGATGGGCTAAATGGGGGGTGGGCATTAAGGAGGGCACTGGTTGGGATGGGCACGGGGCTGTTATATGTAAGTGAGAAATCACTGAATTCTCCTCATGAAATCTTTACTACACTATATGGTAGCTAACTTGGATTTAAATAAAATTTAAAAATTAAAAAAAAGACAAATTTCTAAGGAAGCGTAGAGTCATTTGATAGCTAATCTAGAGGGGAAGGGGATAAAAAGTGTTAACAGACCGCTTCAAAATAATTCAAAGCATTTTTGAAAGCAAAGCAGAGGACTGTTGAGAACTCACAAAGAGATGGCTGACCCCGGGTATTCCCCCCTCACCCCCGCACATTGATAGTGTGTGACGTCATTCTTGGAGACCACCGAGACCCAGGAATGCAGTTTAGGAGTTTATGACATTGCACATCCTATCAGAAGATAGGGGTTTCTGGCAACATTAGTGATCTCAGATCCACTTCAGGTGGTGAAACAAAGTTGACTCGAGATGCCTGGAGCCCTTGCCGTGTACCAGGGAAGCTTTTGGAAACAGTGGAATCGGTTATTAACAAACATTTTTGACCAGGGTGTTGGGCTGGGCACTCAAGGAGACAGAATGAGACGTGGGTCTCATCCAGCTGCTATTTACTCCAGGGTTTACGTCGCCTGTAGGCTCCTCAGAACCAGATTTAACTTTGTCTCTGCCCTGTCGCTACATGGAACTTCCTCTTCTCCCTGAACTCTCTATCCCATTTCATGGGGTTCCTGCTTTGGGAGACAAGCAATGCCCCCATGTAGTCCCTGGAACGGGTGACAATGTCACTTTATATGGCAAAAGGGACATTGCAGATGTGTGTAGGAATCGGGGGGAGGGGGAGAGGTTAGCCCGGACTGACCAGGTGGGCCCAGTGCAATCACAAGGGTCTTTATAAGGGGGAGGGCAGAATGATCCACATCAGAGAAATCGTAGGCTACTGGCTTTGAAGATACAGGAGGAGTCATGAACCAAAGAATGCCAGGAAGCTTCTAGAAGCTGGAAAAGGCAAGGAAACAGTTCTCACCTGGAGCGTCTAGAAGGCGCACAGGCCTGTCAACACTGGTTTTAGAACTCCTGACCTCCAGACCTGCGAAAATAAACCTGTGCTGTTTTTAAGCCGCTGAGTTTGTGATCATTGTCACAACAGCCACGGTAAGCTCAAACACATTAAGAAGCCACGGATCTTCCGTGGGGTTGGTCAGTGTGAGCTACCGAACCTGGTGTGGACTAACTTAAAAAGGAAATTTGTTGGGGATCCAGCTGGCTCACAGATAGGACAGGTGGCTAGGAACGCGGACTTAGAAGCAGGGAAGGGCCTCACGACTCGAGGTGTCCGGCCAGCAGGAATTCCCCTCTGGCTGGAGTAGGTCAGCTCCCCTCTTTTTCCTGTTCCTGGATAGTTCATCTCAAGATTCCAGAACTAGGGAGAAGAGTGTGGATGGCTTAAACCGGCCAGACATCTGTCTCGAGGCTAGGAGACGACAGCACACCTAATCTGCACCCCCCCACCCCCAACACACACACTGCCTTATGGAGAAGGGGGCGGACTCTCCCAAAGGAAAGCCGATGCTGGGAGGAAACGTGCAGTGCGTGACAGGTGACCAGACGCCACACTGTGCCCCTCATGGGAATCCCATTCCGAGCCTCACACCCAGCCTGTCCCTCTGGACTCCTCCCTGGACCACGTTCTGCAGCCACACTGGCCCACCAAATGCTCCCTCACACCAAGCACATGCAACCACCCGCTCTCTGGGGGACCGCCTCGCCCTTGCTCCCGGAAAATCCTACTTACAAGCATAAGCACAGTGAAATAAACCAGTCACAAAAGGATAAATTTTGTATGATTCCACTTATATGAGATACTTAGAACGGCCAAAGTTATAGACAGGAGAACGGGGTTGGGGAGGGTGAGTTAGTGTTTAAAGGGAACAATTTCAGTTTGACAAGAACAGAGTTCAGGGACTGGATGGCAGTGGCGGTTAAACAGCATTCTGCGTTTATTGCCACTGAAAACAGTTAAGATGGAGGCACCTGGGGGCCTCAGTTGGTTAAGCGTCCAACCTCGGCTCATGTCATGATCTCACGTTTCATGGGTTCCAGCCCCGTGTCGGGCTCTGTGCTGACAGCTAGCTCAGAGCCTGGAGCCTGCTTCGGATTCTGTGTCTCTCTTACCCTCGCCTGCTCATGCTGTCTCTCTCTCTCAGGAAAAAAAAAATGGCTAAGATGGTAAATTTTATGTTGTGTGTATTTTACCACGATAAAAAATAAACGGAGGAAGCGCATAAGCAAATCTCACCTTGATCCCTTCTCTCCTGACTGCTGCTTCCTCCCATCGCTCACATGCGCCGCTAGCAAACTGCAGGTCACACTCTGGTTACTCGCGTGCTTCCCTGTCTCTGGCAGCTGATGGAATATTCTTTGAGGATGGAAAGGGGATCTTCTTGGATTCCCAAAGTTGTACACAGAGACTCAATTAATTGAATCCTGTGGTGTTTTTTTCACCCTAATTGTCCTTTCTGCCACCATTCTGTTTTCTTCTAATCAACACCTTATGATCCTTTCCCTCTTAGATTTTGAGCAAAACATGGTCCTGGTGGCCTGTGGGCCATACACCACCTCCGACAGCATCACGTACGACCCCTTGCTCGATCTAATTGCCGTCATCAACCGTGACCGGCCAGACGTCTGCATCCTGGTAGGAAGCCCTCCTGGGACAGCTTCCCCGGTGGGCGGGAGGGCGGGCCAAGGAAAACTGGGAAGGAGAACTTGGAAAAAGCCCCAGTGTTGTAGGAGGCAGCCTCCCTCCATCCGGGTCACAGCTGGGCACCCCCACCCCATCTGCTACCTGTCCGGGGCTCCACGTGCAGCCTTCCCCCAGCAGAGAACTGCTAGGAGGGTGTGTGAGGTGCTCATGGACATGGTGTGGTTCTGACACCTTTGTTTCTCTCCCTTCGGGCCTATGTGCAGTTTGGACCTTTCTTGGATGCTAAGCATGAACAGGTTGAGGTAAGTGACGGGGCCTGGGATGGGCACATGCTGGAATCTTGCGTTCAGTTGTTACTCCCAGATTTTGGAGTTTATGCTGCATCTGTAACAAACCTCAGTTACTCCCTGTGGCTCAGCAGGAAAACATTGTAGCAGGGCATTGTTGCAAAGGTGCGGAATTGGAAGGCTTCACTTCCCCGGCACACAAGGCCAAGGCCGTTTGGAAGCTGGGGGAGAGAAATACAAATCTGTGAGTCCTGGTGGCCCCCTGTGACACCGGACGCAGAGGCATAGTGCGCTAGCTCAGATGCACGTGTCCGTGGGTCATGGAGCCGCACGTGTGACAGCGCCTCACCATGCCACTGTTCTCAGCTCTGTGACCCACGTCATGCTGTCCCTTGATGCATAAAACGTAAATGGCCCTTCCCGTGGCATCTGGTGGCCGAGAGTTGGTGCCTCCTACCCTTTGTCTCTGGATGTTGTACCTTCCATGGAAAGGATTTCGAGACGCTTTTCCTTTTAGTCTCTCTCTCAGCTTACGTTCTAGAGGATGAATTCCTCCCCTATCTCCTCCCCTGCCCCCTGTAGCCTCCGCTCCTTGAGGGCGGAGATGTGTCTCCTCTCTGTATCCCCTCCAGCTCCTCGCTCAACAGCCAGCCCCTGGGGTCTTCTCACGTGGTAGGCAGCTGAAGAAAGGCCAACGTCTACCCTTTCTTCTCTCGCAGAACTGTCTGCTGACAAGTCCATTTGAAGACGTCTTCAAGCAGTGTCTGCGGACGATTATCGAAGGGACACGAAGGTCAGAATTCAGAACATTGGGCAGAACCTTAAGCTGCCTAGTTTCTCCAGGGCTTCGCAGTAAGAAGCTGAAACTGTTGCAGAGTGACGGTAGCCCCTGCCCCCTTCCTCCTCGGGGACCAGAGATCACATCCAACTCTTGACCCTCAAGCGCACCGACGCCGGGTTAAGAGGCATCTCTGTAAAACGCAAAGATAAACACACTTGACAGGAAAGGGCTGCGTGGACTTTCGCTCTTCCCTCGCTTGCTCTTTTACTTCCTTCCTTTTTCTCGCTCGCATTTGTGTAAACTCATTCCATGGGAATCTTCCCAGCTGATTCTGAGAAGCGTTCGATGAGTTACCCAACAAAGTCCCCGGGGGCCCCAAACATCTTGCTGCTTGAGTGATTGTTTTGGGGTGTGCCCAAGTCCTTCCCCGGAGTCGGAGCTTCCCCGGGTTTCGAGGGGCACTGCCGACGGCCAGGAAGCTGTGGTAGAAACTCCCGAGAGGGAGGGACCTTGGATCCTCGCTATACACCGAGGGGAAGGGACGGTGAGAGGTCCCAGGGGTGATGAGAGAGATGAGCGGTTCTAATTTGAGAGAAAGGGGACTGTTGCAGGAAGAGTCTGGAGCTGCATGTAGGAAGCGATTCAGGAAGCTGACCTCCTCACTTCCTGTCCTTGCCCTTGTAGCGCCAGGGTTTGAAAGGAATTGGCGTAGGTGATGGATCGTCTCCCCCAGGGATTTGCTTGCCTGTAGCCGAGCTCAGGAGGACACATTCCTGAGGCTAAGCTTTTAAAAACGAGTCTGTAACAAAGATGCTTCTCAACACCAGATGTGCCGCCTTCCGCCCACCCGCCCTGAGAACTGATCCCGGAGTCGATTAGTCGTAATACTACCTTCCTGTATGCGCAGTGTGGCCGGGGCGGTAGACCTCAGGGACGTTGGGTGGTGGGGGACACCCACTAATCTAACTTGCCAGTCGGGACTTGAGTCGCACCAGTGACCGCCCAAGTACGCCTGGGTCTCCCCTTCCCCCCTCGCTTCCGCAAATGAGGGTTATACCAGTGGCTGCCCTCTCGCCTCCCACGTTTGCGGTGACCCTGACCTGAGTTCATCAGACCCAGAGAGCGCCCAGTGCTCCTTCTCCCCGATGACCTCCCCCCTACTCCCTGATAGCCGGGAGCAGGGCTGGTGTCCTCGATCGGTCGGGTCCCCTGGGGATGGACAGGGGCCTGCAGAGCAGGGCCCCGGAGGGCTGGGTGCTGTCCCTGTGACATCGGGTTCTGGTTTTGGTTCCTCGCCCCGTGTGGTGGTGACAGCAGTGGAACAAACAAAGAACAAAGGGGGCATTGTCACTGTGGGGTGAGTGCCCAGCGCCGCCAGGCACTTTCATCTGGGGCCAGTGTGCGCCTTGGGGCTGGGAGAGCCGCCCACCCTTCCCCAAACTGTATATAAGCGTCTCCTCGTTGCGGGGATTTATTTGTATTCCTGAGAGCGCAGAACCGCAGAGCACAGAGCCGATTTATCAGGGAAAGCCCGAACTACTGAGGAAGCACCCCCTCCCTGGAGAGCGGGGGCCGTGGGGACCCTCCCCCCGTGCTGCCTGAGGGCTCTGCAATGCTCAGCATAGTTGGAATTTTCTTTCTGATCCCTCCCCCTACAGCCACTTCATAACTATGAGCGGGCGGGGCTGTTTTCTCCTTAACTGTTGCTCTTCCAGCACCTTCGCTGAAACAGCGGGGTCAGCTGCACACACCCTTCGTGTCCACCACAGACTGAGCCCCTGGGGTCTGGAGCACGGCGAGTCCCGTTCAGGTTCCCCCCTCTCCCCTCCCCCCGGCCTTGGGAAAAGACCACACGCTTTTCCACGTCAGAGGGACCATAACATGCAAAGTGCCTGTGGTCTCAGGATCCTCGTTATCTGTTGCAAAAGTCTCAGTTCACACTCTGAGCAGGTATAACAGACAAGTGACGAATGGAACCACAGTCACAAGACCTTTATCCCTCCTGCGTCTGGGGAGGCCAGCGGCTGTGAGCGAGAAAGGGAGATGGCCGTGGGCGCCGTGGGCGGGTCTTGAACATGCCCCCCAAGCAGCACTTTGCGCCTGTGTGGTTTACAGCAGGCCCTGCTGCCGAGCACAGCTGAGGGGACCAAGGAAACCGGACTTTTTTTCCCCCTTGCCTCTTTTGTGTGGCTGAGGAGGATAAACAGTTGGCTCCCAGAGTTCAAGGTTTTTCTTCGATGACATGTTGTACCCTAGAGATTCCCCCGTTCCCACCGAAAAGGGACGCGTCAGAGGAGATCCATGCTTTTGCTATTGCTGTTAAGTACTCCTGTCATTTCAGCAAGAGGATTGCTGAGAAAAAACCTGGGGCCTCGCTTCCCCACGTGAGAGGCACGGGCCGGCTCCGGGGACAGGCCGGTCGTGTTCTTCCCCACCCCCCGGAAAGTGTTCCTGTCTCCATAATTCGGACCCAGTGTTGTGTCAGGAGGCGGTAGTCTGATCCCCGAATGGGAAAGGCCACGCGGCCTCGCCCTGGGAAGGAGCCCCCGTTGGGGAGGCTGATGCCCGCAGCCGTGTCCCTTCGCGTAGTGTGAAGACTCAGAACTTGGGGTTCAGCTCGGGCTCCGGGCCTCGTCTGAGCCTTATCTTTCTAGGTTTTCTATATCCCATCATCTCCCCCCTTTCCCACCGAACGGCCCCACTCTGCCCCGTGGAGCATTGCACGGAGCCAGGGGGAAGCATGCCCCCGGTGACCGGAGCCTCGTGGCGGTAGAAGGGCGGACGTGAGGACGAGTCGGCTTTTGCTCGCAGTGTCCCATGGGAAACAGCACCTCTCCTTCTAGAATTCCGTTCTGACGTTCCTCCCCGGATGCAGGCTCACGTATCCAGCTGTGACACGTTCAGTCTGTCGTCCAGCTGTTCCAACTCAACCGCATTCGTTTTTCTCCCCCTTCTGGTGTGTTTTTGGCAAAGTAGCTCCGGCTCCCACCTCGTCTTTGTCCCGTCGCTGAGGGACGTGCACCATGAGTCCGTGTACCCACAGCCACCCTTCAGCTACTCCGATCTGTCTCGGGAAGACGTGAAGGTACCAGCATCCCTTCCCTGAGCGGCGGGCAGCCCGGATCCAATGTGCCGCAGGGGACCCAGCTCTGCCCCCTGGGGGCGGGGGGGGGCTGCCTTTTTGGGGCATGGATAGGGCTTCTCTCTTTTCTTAAAATTTCTTAATTTTTTAATGTTTACTTATTTTTGACAAAGAGAGAGAAACAGAGAGCAAGTAGAGAGAGAGGGAGACACAGGATCTGAAGCAGGTTTCAGGCTCTGAGCTGTCCGCACAGAGCCCAACGTGGGGCTCAAACTTGTGAACTGTGAGATCATTACCTGAGTCAAAGTCGTACACTAAACCAAACTGAGCCACCCAGGCGCCCCTTAAAGTTCTCTTTTTAACAAGCAACTGTATTTGTGATTTACTCTGTTGGTCAGGTCCCCCTTTCGGTGGTCTCCCCAGCCCCTGGGACACCCCCACTTTCATGGGGAAGAAGTTTTAAGCTTTGATGCACAAATGTTTGTCTCGCCCCCTCAACTTAGCGAGTGCGGTTCGTGTCTGAGCCCTGCAGCCTCTGCTTGAATGGAGTGGTCTTCGGCCTGACGTCCACGGATCTGCTGTTCCACATGGGAGCCGAGGAGATCAGTAGGTGAGAAGCGGTTCTGGGCCCGTGGGCGGGATGCCGGCTCTCCGGCCCCCTGCGCCTGCTGAGTGTAGGTCCGGCGGTGCGGGTCCCCCATGGCTGGAAGGAGCGTGAAATAGTTCGGGTGTTGGGTGAGATGGTTGTGCACTTGCTGGCTGAGGTTTGAGGTGGGGGTTGCCCCAACTGGACACCCACTGTGCTCTGGCGAGCCCCTCACCCGTTCTTGCACACTATGGTCCTGGCCACCAGCCCACCATGACCTTGTCAGAAGGGATGCCTGCCTTTCCCTTCACAGCCCGGTGGCTGGCTCCCCTTCTCAGGTGGGAAGAGACCGGGCTGTTTGTGGGTGGGTCTTTGAACTTCCCCAAGGCACCCTCCCATCACTGTGCCCGGGCCACGCCATTTCCCCCTAGTTTATTAAATCCTCGAGTCCTCCCCAGGGAGAAACAGAAGCTGAAAATCAGGGCTCTGCATTCCGTGTCTTGCTTCTCTTCCTTCCCCAGTTCTTCCGGAACTTCAGACAGACTCAGCCGAATCCTCAAGCACATCCTGACCCAGAGGAGGTGAGTCCGCTCGCTGGGATAACCGACCATGAAGGACGTGCTTCAGGGCCCGGAGCTCTGACCAATTTGATTGGCGGTGCCTTCCTTGGGCCTCTCCCAGGGAACTCCACCCCGTCCTGACAAGCCCGCATTCTGTCCCCCGAACCCAGAGGAGCGGGCAGGACAATCTGAAAGCAGAGACACACGGAGAGAAGCCATGTGGGAAGGGGGGCCCCCGGCCAGCCGCTGCTGACCGTTTCTCTCCATCCCTGTAGCTACTACCCGCTCTACCCTCCCCAGGAAGACATGGCCATTGACTATGAGAATTTCTACACCTACGCACAGCTGCCTGTCACCCCAGACATCTTCATTATCCCGTCAGAGCTGAAATACTTTGTGAAGGTGGGTTCGGACTCTGCTTTTTCCCAGAAACGCCAGAACTGCTCTTTGACTTGCCCTTCTAGACCGCTGGTCCTCGCTCTCCGTGCTCGCCCCGTTTGTTGGGGGGAGGGGGGTGCCTAATCTCTTAGTAAAACGTTTAAGTAAAAGGCATCCCCCTGCTCCCCAGCGCTCCGTGGCATGGTGCTGTCTGCCGGCCCGGGAGCCCCAGGGCTGGTGGGAAGGCCCTCAAACAGTGGTTGTCACATGGGGCCATGTCAGGTGACCTGGAGAGGTTTCACACGTGCACTTGCCTGCCCCCCTCCCCTGAATTCGGATGTGACCTCCAAGGGCATTTCAGCCCTTTGGCTCTTTCTCATGTCTGCCGCCGCCCCCGGGGGTGGGTCCATCGCAGGGGATCCGCCCCACCAGCACCCCTCCTGCCAGCCCAGAGCTGGTTCCTCTCAGGAGCTAAACATTTAGCTCCCACGTTGGAGAACAGCCCCCGGGTCACGTTTGTACCTTCGTCCTGCTTCCGAAGCCCCCAAGGAACTCGGGGTTTTCCACTAAGCAGTTAACAGATCAGACCCGAGATGGGTTCCTTTCCATCTTACAAACCCCTCCCTGGGGTCTGGGTTAGGCGATCCCAGCTTTCTCACGCTGGCGCCTCCCCTCTCCCCAGGACGTCCTCGGCTGTGTCTGCGTGAACCCCGGGCGCCTCACCAAAGGGCAGGTGGGGGGCACCTTCGGCAGACTCCTCCTCAGAGGGCAGCGGGCCACGGACGGGGAGGGGACGCGCAGTCCGTGTGCTGCCGTCCAGGTGGTCAGGATCTGAGGGGGCGCCCGCCGTCCCCGTCGTGCGGCCCTCGCATGAAAGCGCAGCTGTTGCCCAGCGGAGGAAGCAGGCAGCAGGCTGGAAGAGAGGTGGCCCGGCGGGCAAGGCCTGGTGCGGCTGGACCCCGACTCGGAGCGGAGCTTCCCTGGAAGAAAGCCGCTGTTGCCTCAAGGACACACAGAGTCCAGAGCGAACGGGTGGTGGACGCAGATGCTCTGAAAACGCAAGGCGGCCTCGTGACTCTTCTACCTGGACCAGACACAGAAACAGCTTTTGGAGAAATAAAAGTAAATTCTGAGAACTTCTGAGTTTAAACCTTCTTCCGCACGCACTCTCTCCCGGCAGGACCAAGAACATCGCCTCCCTGACCTGTGCCCAGAGAAGGCAGAGCATCTGTCACACCGGGTTTCTGTCCAGCCGCAGCCCTGACCCCAGGCTCCCCGCAGCCTCTGTGCTGAGGACATGCACTAGGCTGCGGGCCTGGGCCTGGGCCGCAAGGCGAGCAGCTGGCAGCGTGCCCAGCCCTCCCCGCACAGCCCTCGCATGCGTGCTGGGGCCCCAGCCTGACCTGTCCATCTGGAGGGGGCAGCCGCTCGGAGCTGTGCCAAAGCTGGATTTCCTGGTGCCGGCCCTGCCAAGCCGCACGGCCCCAGGCGCCCTCCGGGGTCCCCCAACGTCCCGTGTGTACTGGCATCTGGGGAAAGGCGGTCACGGGTTAAACATGGAGTAGGTTTCTGCCCAAAGCCGACAGGCTGTGCTGCCTTGTATGCCAAAGCCAAGCCCGGAAACCACAGCCCCCGGGCCGAGGGAAAGTGCGCCAGGGAGCAGCGGGTGCCGATGCCTGTGCCCTCTGTCGGAGACGAATGGGTGATTGAGCAGTGTCCAACCTTTGCCTCCCACCTGGGACGGTGAGGCGGCATCAGCGGCAGGTCCAACCAGGCTTGGGTGAAACCGGTCTCCCTTTGAAAACAAGCAGCTGCGGTTTTGCTTCATGCACGTTATAGGCACCGCCTCTGGAGACGGGAACTGGAGACAATTCCCAGCTTGGGGAGCTGATTCTCCCTCCCCAAGACTCCCCCGCAAGGGAAGCACCCGGCTGCGGGGCAGGGGGTCTCACGCCTTCCTCTCCGGATGTGGCATTTGGGGAACCCTGGGCCCCTCTTCCACAACCTTGAACCCCAGTTCAAGAATAGCAGTGGCACTTCTACCAAACCAAGGCCAGCTACAGGCCCGCCCCTCCCGGCCTGGGAAGATTAACCAGCAGGCCCTCGGCCACGATAAACAAGGCTCTGCATCCTTATCTCATGAACCCATGTGTGGCCCTCAGGGGGCCACGGCTCCTGGCAATTACCCTGGTGTTACTGCTGGAGAAGCCTTGTGGGGAATTGTGATGTCTGGGTCCCCGCTTGGCAAGGCACAAAGTCCCCTTTCCCCTTATTACAGCCTCAGCAAAATCCAGAGGCCCTGTGGGATGCGGCAGTTGGCAGAGGGGGAGGGAAGACCCGCATGGGGCGGAGGGGGGCCGGGGATGGGGAGGCGTGTGCAGGGCAGACGGAGGCAGGAGGCAGGGGTGCGCAGCCTCCGGGTGAGAAAGCAGGAGCTCAGCATGAATGGGAGCGCGAGTCCGTTGCCTGGATACCAGTCGTGTGACTGTTGGAAGCGATCGGGGAGGGCGACCAGAAAGCAGGATGCGAACCCCAGATTGCAGACAGGTCTGGCACGCAGGCGCCTCTCTGCCACCAGACGGTCCCTTTGGCTCTTGTCAGGAAGTCGGTGCCCAGCTGAGCCCGCCGGCTGCTCCCAGCCCCCTTTTGAGCTGGGTCGCCAGTTTCCTGAGTCGGTGGTGTCCCTCTTGCTCCTGTAGGGCTTTCGCTGCCGCCTGCGCTGGGGCGCGTGACCTCTGAAGTAAGGTCCCCGGGGAGTTGGGGGTGGGGGGTGAGGCATCGGTGAGGCAGGGTGGAGGCAGCCCAGCCGCAGGGGCCAGGGAACCCCCTTTCGCTCAGTGGCACCTCCCCTGGTCCTGGGACACAAGCCTGAGGGCGGAGCAGATGGTTCTGAGGAAACAAAGTCTCTGTGCTCTTACCAAGTCCCACACCTCCGTGTCCCAGCTGTCGTGCCCCCGCAGGGCCACCCGGGCTGCCAACCGCGTCTTCCTGGTGCCGGTAGAGCCTGAGGCTGCCCTCCCTCGACCCCTGCATGGGCCCCCTTTAGGATTCAGGATCTATCTCTAGGAAGGTCCGGGGAGAGCTGCTGAAGGGAACCCAAGTGAATTCTAAGAACGAAGCTGGGCCACTGTGGCGGTCGGGGCACCCAGAGGGCCGGGGCAGGGCCGTGACTCTGCTCCTTGGGGCCTCTATCCTGCTCTGCCTTTCTGCAGCTACTTTGGGCTTGGTGTTTCCTTTCCCTTGACCTAGGGTCACCCAGCCTGGCTCAGCCTGTCTGGCAGCTTCCCCTGGTGCTGGGAGTAGCCTTTTGGGCTGATTTTTCACTTCTGTTTGGGACACATCTCCTTCCCCCTGACCCCCGGGCTCCTGGCTGAGGCCCCCGTCCCACCCCAAGAACCAGGCTTGGTTGGCCACACGGGGCCTCCTCCAGACTTGAGCCTTCTAACTCCCCATGAATGGCCTTGAGTGATGGCGGGAGGGGGAGGGTAACATTTTAAAATTTATTGAGATATACTAACAGCATCAACTTTACCATTTTAATGGGCACCGTGCGGTGGTTTTTAGTACATTCACCATGGTGTGTGAACATCATTACTAATTCCAGAGGATTCTCTGAAAGGAATTCCATCCCCACTAGCAGTCACCTCCCCACCCCCATCCTCTAGAAAACAAAAATCTTTTTTTAAATTTTTTAAAATGTTTTATTTATTTCTGAGAGAGAGAGAGAGAGACAGTGTGAGCAGAGGGTCAGAGAGAGAGGGAGACACAGAATCTGAAGCAGGCTCCAGGCTCTGAGCTGTCAGCACAGAGCCTGACGCGGGGCTCGAACCCACAAACCATGAGATCATGACCTGAGCCGAAGTCAGACGCTCAACCGACTCAGCCACCCAGGCGCCCCTAGAAAATACAAATCTACTTTCTGTCTCAACAGACCTGACTGTTCTGGGCACATCATACAAATGATGGGGTCCTCTGTGGCCAGCTTCTCACACTGAGCGTCACGTTCTCACGGGTCACCACACTGTAGCAGGTATTAGTCCTTAAGTTCTTTTCCTGTTTTGAGTGGCATCCCATCGTACAGATAGACGGCATTTTCTCGATTCACTCAACGGGGTGGTGGACATTGGGGCTGTTTCCACTTTTTTGGCTGTTGTAAATGATGCTGCCTGGCGCACCTGAAGGGCTCAGTCAGCTAAGCATTTGACTCTTGGTTTGGGCTCAGGTCACGACCTCACGGTTCGTCGGTTCGAGCCCTGCATCAGGCTCTGCGCTGACAGCGCACACCCTGCTTGAAATTCTCTCTTCTCCTTCTCTCTCTGCCCTTCCCCCACTCGCTCTCTATCTCTCTCAAAATAAACAAACTTTATGTGAAGTCAGGAGGGCCCCGTGGAGGAGTTTGGACTTGATTCAGTGCCTCCCAGGGAACTTGTAAAGGCTTCTGAGTAGAGCAGATGGACAGTATGGAGCCTGGGACTTAGAAAGGCCTGGCAGTGCCACTAAGGGCAGAGTGAAACTAGGAGAGGCTGGAAGTTCTCAGAAGAGCCTCCCAGTACCCACTCTCCATTCCTATGGAAGCAGTACCCCAGTTTTCCTGTGGGAGAGCCCCCCTCCTCCTCGCTCCTCCCTTGCCTAAACCAAGCAGCACACTGCATCTCCCTGGCCTCGGTGAATGGCCAGGGATAGGCAGGCCCTAAGACAGTCCAAACACAATGACTCCAAGACCTCTGCAGAAGTGTTAGAAAAGACGCGGCCGCAACGCTGGAGCTGCTGCAGCCGTCTTGCCGCAATGAGGGAAACCCATCATGAATATGGACTAAACCAGAGGACACAGAGCCAGGAGAGAGAGAGAGAGGGTGGCGCCAGGCCACGTTGTCTGAGCTCTGATGAAGCTCGTCCTCATCCCCCAAAATCTAAGCCCACAAATACCACCCCCCTCTTTTTTTCCTTAAACTAGTCAGAATGGAACTTTCTGGCATTTGCAATCAAAACAGTGAAGGCCTGATCCGGGACCGCAGGATCAGGGCGACTGCCAGGACACAGACGGAGAAGACGCAGCTCAGGTGGGAAGACGAGGGAGTGGACGTTTCTGGGGATGTACTGCGTGTACTCTGACACGGGGATCGCATCTAACTCCCCACATCCCTGCCGGCAGGTGCTGAGAGGTTAGAGGTCACCAGCCTAAGTCAGTGACGGAGCTGGGATTTAAACTCCAAACCCCTTGTCTCTCCACCCTGCCACGCTGACCGACCTGGCACGCAGCAAGGACAGACTGAGAAGGAGTCACAGGTAGCAGCCCAGGGACCTGGGAGCACGTGGGGAAGGGGTTGAAGAGAGAAACTTAGGGAGGTGCCCAGGACTACTGGGGGCAGATGGGGACTGAGGGGGGCACCCAGGCTATGGGTGAGAAGAGTAGCACTCTGGTGAGGAGTGGGGACCGGACTCAAAAGCTGCGGAACTGGGAAGTACTGGGGGTCTGCCTGAGGGCAGTGACGGGGTGGGGGGTGGGGGGGCGTGGCTGGAGGTGGAGCTGACCCTCCGGGTCTCCCAGGCTGCACATCACTGAGGTGCCTGTCACTGAGCTGGGACTCAGTCAGCTGCACTCGGACATTTGGACCCCTCGGTCACCCTGGCCTCTGTCATTCTGGGTTCTCTATCCCTAAGCAGCCAGGCCTATCTGCTCCCTCTGGGTCCGCCCTAGAAATGCCAGGCCCCCAGGGGCCAGCCTGCCCTTGGGCCCACTCGGGCCCACGGCCAGTTCCAGATTCCCCCACCCAGCCCCACCCTCCTCCTCATGTCCCGGACTCCCTGCCCCCGCCCCCTGCCCGCCTGACAGCTGAGATGGCCAGCAGCTGCCTAGGCCAAGGGGCCCCTCCGAGGCCTCTGGGACAGCTGCTGCCCCATGACCCTGCTGACCCCTCGTCCCCGCACACTGCTCTCTGAGGGCCCAGCTGAGCCCCATCTCCTCTGCCCGCTCCGTCACTCCCAGATCTTCCCGGGATCTGGAGCATCTGCTCTGAGAAAGATCTGGAGGCCTCCGGGGCCGGGGCCACTGCCCCACCGGAGGAGTGGGAAAGGGGAGATGCCGGGCCAGCCGACTCCAGCCCCACCAAGTGCTCTGCCCTCTAGAACACTTCTAGTAGCAGCGATTTACCTCTGCGGACAGGAGTGGAAGGGCTAGGGGTCAGGGGCCCGAGGCCTCGGAGAATTAACCGTCATGTCCACGCTCCTATCCGGCTTGAAATCTTGTGCCCCGTGTGGAGAATCCTTGCAAAGAAACTATACACGGCGCGATCCAGCCCCTCCGCTCCTCGGTTCTCCGTGTCCCGTCCCCGTGGGTAACCCTCTCCCCGAGAATCCGTCAGGATGCCTGCTTCCCGCGGGCAGGGAGCCTGTCCCGTCCCTGCAGAGCGCCTCACCCGCAGTAGGCCCACGGGAGATGCCCGCGGCAGGAATGGTTTGTCACCACACATCCTCCCTTCCGCCTTCCCAGACAGGTGCCTGGAGAGAAGAAGCAAGCCCCCAGGCACCCCTGCCTCTGGTGTGCGGACCTGTAGCCCGAGCCCATCAGTTCTGCTTGCTCCTGTTTGCAAACACTGGCTGCTGGCCGGCTCTGGGCCGGGATCGGGTTGGGACGCAGAGGCGAAGGGAACAGACAGCGCCCGCCCCACCCAGAGCACCACCAATAAGCAAACACCAGGCGCAGGGGGAGGCAAATGCCTTCGAGGAAACCAAAGCAGGCCAAGCGCAGAGGGGGCGCCAGGGCGGGGCCCCAGAGAGGTCCTAGGCTCCAGGCTCTTGCTTCCCAAACACCCGTCTCCTAGCAGCTTGCTGTCTCCAGCCTCCTGCCATTCATTAGCTGATCCATCCGTTCCTTTGTCAGGTACCTACTGTGTGCCAGGCGCTCTGGGGAGACACTGGTGGCTACTGTCCAGTGGGGGGTGGATGTGATTCAGATGGGACAGTGGCCTGGAGTTTCTCCGTGGGTACTACAAGGGGACTTGACATCAGTTGGGGGTTCGGAAGGCTTCCCTGAGGGAGAGATGCCCCAGCTGAGAGAAGGCCCCCCTCCGCGAGGCAGCCAGGTGAGGCCAGGGGCGGAGCATGCGCAAAGGGCCGCCCCTGCAACACGGAGTGGAGAGGGGGCGGTAGGGGCCCCCTGCACAGGGACTGTGGACCCTGCAGCATGTCAGCAGGGGCATGTGGCACATCAATCACGACCCAGGGTGGCAAACAGGCAGGTGGCACATCATCTCACCCCCCAGGATCCTCCATCTCCCTTGGTGGCCCCACCATCCTCCCTTCCCTGCCCCGCCCGCCCCACTCTGAGTCATCACCCTGGATTGGGCTCGACCCTCCCCTCCCCCTCCATGGGCCCCGTGGCCGGTGTGTCACCGAATTCCAATCTTTATACTTTATTATCTCCAACTCTGGCTTTTACGCCACAGCTCAGAGCCAAATTCCGTCGTTTTCCTGAACCGACTCTCCGCAGAGCCGCCCCCGCCTCCAGTCCGGCCCCCCTCCGGGTCCCCCCCCCCCGCCCCGGAGTGACCTCCTAAGCCAGACTGTGCAGCCAGTCCACAGAAAACAGAACGAGGAATGACCCTAAAGCCTCCGAAAAGGTAGCCAAACTCCCTTATCATAAGAGACACAAACTAAAACCACACCCAGGCTCCTTCGGCTTTGGTTTTTCTCTCTCAGACTGAAAGAAATCAGAGAGATCGAGAACCAGGTGCTGGTGAGGCTGAGGAGAAAGGGGCCCTCTGCGACCTGGCACGCGGCCCACGCCCTGGAAGGACAAGCAGACAGCGCTGACCGAGTGACACCAGTGCGCGTCCCTTCGCCCCTGAGCGCGCAGGAATGGTGGCGCAGCTGTGCGCACGCGCGCGTCATTCGGCCTTCGCAGGAGAGGACCCGCCTCAGCCGCCTGTCCTGGGAAAGGGCTGGGAACACCCCACACGCCCAGCGCCTGAGAGCCGCTTCTGGAAACTGCCCCCCGCATGCTGTGCAGCGGCAAAAATGTGAAGATGAGGACCCGTTCTGTGTCCTGCTGTAGAGTGTTCATAATAGGTTAGCTGTTGAAAAGCCAGGCGCAGGACAGTGGGGAGAGCAGAGGCCCTATCAGGGTGGTTTCCCGTGTGCCCTGCAGAGTCACCTCCACTGCCATCGACAGCAGAGCCTGCCTTTCTCCAGGCGTGGGCAGAGCGCACCTGCAACATCATCAACAGCCAGACCTTTGCTGCCTGCCACAGTCAGGTGGGCCTCCCCCCCCCCCCCCCCCCCCAGCGCCACCAGGACCTGCAGTTCCTTGGGAATCTGCCTGTTTATACGGTGCCATTTGTGTAGAAAAGACAGGAGGGTCTTTGCTTGCATATGCAGAGTATCTCTAGAAAGATAGACAAGAAGCTGATACCACTGGTTGTCTTCTGGGAGAATGGGGGCCTAGGGAACGGGGCGGGGGGTGTCGAGGGGCACTTTGGCCTTGGGGGTGGCGTTAGTCACACTGAAGACGCTGGGAAATGGAGTGGTGAGTGGTCACCAGAGTAAGAGGGATGGGTGCTGGGCAAGGCAAACAGTTCTCACTGCTCACTCTTAGACTGTCTGCCTCTCCTACACCATCGTGGTCTACGGGGTATCTCTTGTTCCCTGATCACACCATGCATCTACTTGTAGCACGCCCTCCCCCCACCCCGCCCCGCCTTTGCCGGCTCCACCTGCGATGTCCCTTCTTTTCTCTGCCTGGTGAACTCCTATGCATCCATGAATACCCTACTCAAATATCCCCTCCTCCTTGCAGTTTTCGTAACACTCCCATCTGCTTCCTCCCCTCTAGCAAATCGAGTCCTTCTCACTTCTGTCCTTATTAGTTCTCCTTTCCATCCGCAGTCACAGACAGCCTCATCCGTGCTGGCCTGGGATAGTTAGACGTGAGTCAGAGCCAGCCTCTACCCTCCAGGCCCTCATTTACAGCACAGAATGTGCTATTCTAGAATTGCTTATTTGTTGCATTTGGGGTTATCTGTTCCCTGAGGGCTGGGGACCAGCCTTGGCCATCTGTGTCCAGCACAGCCCTAGGCAAGAAGTAGACGCAAGTGGGGGTTTTCAAAATGGATATCGACAAGACGTCTTGAAGAGGTGGGAAGGGTTGAAGATGGCCCCCGGCTGACCCTGCGTTTCCCAAGCCAAAGGACAGCCATGCGGCTTGGATGCTCCCAGAGGTCTCTGGGGCAATGCCTGGGCTGGTCCCCGCTAGGACGGAGCTGTCACCACTCTGGGAACCCCCATGGCTCTGGGCATGGGCCCAAAATCCAGACCCAAAGGAAAGTCCCTCCGCAAGGCCCTGTCACCCCGTTCCCAGGAGGGGTTCAAGACAGAGACAGAAGCTGGGGGGCAGTTTGGAGGGGACTCTCATCTGAATCCCAGCCTCTGGTGGGTCAGAGTTCTCTGCAAGCAAGCCAGGGCTGGAGTTGGCAGGAGCCCAGGGGAGGAAGGAAATAAGAAACAATCAAGGAAAAATCCAACCCAGGCCTGGGGTTGGCTGAGGCCATGGGGCCCTCAGGCTGAGCTTGGGCTGGGCTGGAGAGGCTTCCTAGGGGCGACTGAGCTCCTGCCCAGCTCCGTGCTGCCCTGTGGTCCTGGGAGGGGTGCTGAGGCCCCTTCCAGACACTTTGTCTCCTCTCACCGGCCCCCCAGATTCCCCACCCCCAAGATTATCACTGCCCTTTCCTTGTGGCTCTCTGCCCCCAGGCCTGCCCCCAAACTCCTGGTCACTGTCCTCCACCTGCGTCCCAGAGCCCGAGCTCCCCGGGGTAGGTGGGGCCTTGGAGAGCGGGCTCCAGCCTGGGGGGGAGGGGCCTTCCCCATCAGTCCCTCATCCTCCCCAGCTAATCTTGGAGAAGGGGGCTTCCAAGTCTCTCCCTCTGGGCCTACAGGGGCTGGGGCTGCTGACGTGGATGATTTCCAGGAAGAAGGGGCTGGGAGGGGAAGGAAGGGCTGAGTCAGTCACTGCGTGGTGATTACAGAGCCCAGAGGGGGGAGCAGCCTCCGGGTGGGAGAAACGGACCAGACCCATCTCAGGGCCAGGGGGAGCTCCCAGCGGAGGAGAAGGAAGTTGAATAGCCCATGTCGGGCACTGCTCCATCTCAGCCTTCCTTGCCTCTAACTCCTTCCAAATGTTCTTCAGGGTCCTGCCCCCTCAGCCACCAGGATGTCCAGGCAGAGCCCTCCCAGTGAGAACAGTCCAGGGCCTTGGCTGAAGTTTTAGACTCTGGACGTGGGGTGCAGGCGGGGCAGGAGGCGGGACACTTGGCCTGGATGTCCGTTGAGTCAGAAACGCAGGACACCCTGGCTATCCCCTGGCCCAGGATCCCAGCCTCCCCGCCCCCACTCGGGCCCTTACACACAGCCTGAGAAGTTGCGTAAAGTAGCCAATTTTAGCAAATGAAATCCTCTTTCATAAATGTGCATTAATTGCAGGGCTCCCACAGCAGCTGGGTGTGTATGCAAAGATCCTGTCTATTCAGCAAAACCTCCAGGAGCAGCGCCGCCGTCAGCAGCCTCCTTCGGGATTCCTCCAGCCCCAGCCAAGTGACATAACTTCATCTGTGAACGGAGAGAGTGACCTGCTCACCTGAGTGCCTGCAGAGCACAGAACTCACCACCAGGCACAGATCACGGCTCGGATGTAATGGAGGCTTTGTGCAGGCTGGCCCCGAGCCCTGGCTGATGGCAGGAGTATGAGGGGAGCCAGCACGTACAGGGAGCCTTGTCACACCCGGATGCACTCAAAACAGTCCCCAGATCACAGATGGTGGCTCCTATGGCTCGGGGCCCTGGTTAGGAGTCGTGGGCTAGCAGCCATGCTGGACGATTACTAACTAGCCGCTGGGGGAGGGGAGCAGGGGCTAGGGTCAGGTTGAAGGGGCCAAATCCACTGCTCTCTACCCATCCCCCAGTGATCACCACTAACTGCCCCCCCTCAAAAAAAAAAAAAAAACTCTTCAAAGAGTTCTGGAACTGGTTCCCAGTTTCATGTGGCCTTGGGTGTCTTTGCCTGTCCAAACTTCCATCTCTCCAACTCTGTTTTGTCACCAGCTCTGAATGGAGTTCTCGACCCCTTCCAACCTCCTTCCCCCAAAGGACGCCCAGCGGATGGACAGAGGGTAAAGGACTGTGCCTCAGCCACATTCTTGCAGGCTCAGGAGGTTTCATCAGGGGGGCCATTCCAAGTCAAGTGGCAAGGCCAGCCTGCTCTCCCCCAAGGCGACTGTGAACATTTGCATGAATGTAGCACCTGTTGAGGGCTATGTGTTCCCATCAACACAACACATGAAAGCCTCTTATCTTGTTTGGGATTCATGTAACTCTCCTTTTACAGGCAAAGTGGCTCAGGAAGGGACTGTCCTCTGCCTGTGGCCACAGAGAGGGTGGGCAGCGGAGCCAGCTGGGAACCTGGGCCCAGTGGGAGCGCTTAAGGCTTGGCCCGGAGCTGTGTCTTCTCCCAGGGTTGTGCTGGGGGGGGGAGGGGGCAGGGCGGCTGGATGAGAAGCCTGAGGCAGGAGGAAGGCCCAAAGGCCACAGGTCTCTCACTTTCAGGCCTAGAAGATCACTATCAGGGCCCTGAACTACTTTTCCTTCTTCCTTAAGGCGATGAATCCCCAGGGACAAAAACCGTGCCTGGCACCTAATAGATGCTCAAGTATCTGTTGAATCACTGAATGGAGCTGCTCAAGTGTCTGTTGAATCACTGAATGGAGCGAGGGCAGTTTCCTTCCGTCTATCTCCAGGGCCCTGTGCAGGGTCTGCCCTTCAATAGATGCTTCTGGTACTGAATGAATGAATGAATGAATGAATGAATGAAACAAACGAAGGTGAAACGAGTCTAAGTATGGGTTCCACCCCCGACCCAGAAGCCACCTAGACTGATGACAAACAGGGGCGTACCCAGGCCACTCTGCCGGCACAGCCTCAGTGCCCTCTTTTCTAGGGGGCGGTAAACTCCTGAAAGGTCTCGCAAGTTTGTAGTATTTTCACTCGGGCGCCTCCAAGGCCTCATTCACTCCCGTAGTGGTCACTGAACACACCTGTGCGGGCGCCTCCCCAGACCCAGCTCTTCAGGGAGGGAACGGGTCCAAGGACGCTCGGTGAATTCTGAAGAACCACAATTCGGTCTACCGGCTGCCACGCCCTCGGCCCTTCTACAACCGAGTTTGGCTCCGACAGGCACAGCCAGAATCCACGGAGTCCAGCCCGGGGACCCGACACCGCCTGGCTCGCAGTGGTCCGAGCCTGCACTGCACCCCTCGTCCGCGCGGCTGCTGAACCCCGGCGCCGCGCTACCAAAGGGGGAGCAGAGGCGGGGCCCGGCGTGGGGCGGGGCTGTGGGCGGGGCTGGTTGGGACGGCCCCGGCATTGGCTCCGCGGGCCAGGGGCGGGGCCTCAGGGGCCACCGATCGTCCTGTGAGTTCACAGCCGGGATCGCGTCCCATAGCCTCGCGGTCTAGCTCCAGAGCTTTCGCAGCCCGCGGGCCCACCGCCTGAGCGCCTTAAGGTGAGTTACGGCCGGGACTCTGCAGCCCGTCCGCGACGCCCGGGGGGCCCCCGAGAGGCCCATCCCCGTGGCGCCCCGTCCTGCGTCGCACCCGGGTCCGTGTGTCACCTCCGCGCAGGTCCTTTCCCGGGAACCTCGGGTTCCACGGTGTTTCCCGCCAGCACCTAGGTCCAGGCGGCCACGCCCGCGCCCCCTCCGCCTGCGAGGCGCCGCGCATCCAGACCTCGAACTCGCGGTCCCGCCCTTCACTCTGAGCCCTGGTCCCCTCCACACACTCGGGAGCTGGGAGCGCCCTCCCGCGGCCCAGCGACCCCGCCCATGCTGGGGGTCGTATTTTTAGTCGATGGTGAGGTGTCCTCCTATCTTTAGCCGCGTCCGCGAGTGTCCTGAAACAGATCCGGGCTGGGCACTCGCGCAGAGGGCGGGGAGGGGTCTGCGCTGAACCCGAGCTGGGGCTGAGGAACAGGACCCGCGGGACCCAGGGGTGGGGGGCCTGCACGCCCGAGCTCTGGCCCTGAGCCGAGCGGACACTCGGACATCGCCCAGGCCGGAAAGCACGGGGCAGGCTCCTCCCAGAGCTTGGAGACCCTGGCAACGTCCCCGATCGCCCTTTCCCCCTCTACTGTCCTGTTGTGAGACCGGAACGGTCCGAGAGAGGAAGATCCCTTAGACAATCCGCATCTGGTACGCGAACGTGCAGCTCCTTGGGGGGCCCTGCCTGGAGCCCCGAGGGCGCTGGAGACCCTGGTGAGCGCCGGGACCCCTCTGGGAAGCAGGCGACAGAGCGCGCACTCGCACGCCACCCCGCGGCCGTGGAGCCGAGCGCCGCTCTGCACAGGGACCGGGGGCGACCAGACCTCCCGCGGGCCCGCGAGGGGAACTCTGCGCAGACTGCCTCCAAGGCAGGAGAAGGCGGACTCTTGGAGGATGGGTGCATTCGGTTTTTGGTCTTGTTTGGAACAGTGTCCGTGGAAAACCTACAGTTATTTGCTGAATGAATGACAGGGGTGACAGTGACCCGATAACCCTGTCTGCTGTCCATCTGCTCTCACTTGCACTGTAGGGTCTTCCAGTAGCCCTCTGGTGACGACTTTGTCAGCCCATTTTATAGATGGGGAAGGTGAAGGCCATAAAGGAGCTGTGTCTTGCCCAAAGTTCCAAGGTGAGTCCTAGCCGGAGATAGATTCAAGGTCCCTCTCCTGATTTCAAGGTCAGGGGGCTGCTGATTGAACGTTGGTAGGCAGTGGGCTAATACTCCTCAGGGCAGGAGGGGATGTGCCTGTAGGAAGTCCTTAGCTCCGGAGGAGGCCCAGGGCTCCTGGCCAGAGCAAGCTCACAGGGCTGGGATGGCTCCCATCTGCTCCTCCCACTGCTAAGGGAAGTCACCGCTTCCAGCTCTTCATACCCTGTCCTGATGGAGAGCCCATTCTCATCTCTCTGGATCCTTGCCAGTGGGGAGTGGGAGACAACTGACGGGACTTACAAGGGAGAGGCCTGGGGACCCAGTGGCCCCAGCCCAGCTGGGAGCCTGTTTCTCTCCTTCTCTGCAAGCAGCTTTCAGACATTGGATGGCCCCGCTGCATCAGAGCCACAGGACCCGGGCTGGGCACCAGTGACCCCTCTTCCTCTTCCCAGCTGGGTGACCTCAGCAACATTAAGGTCTCTGAGGTTCAGCTTCTGCCTCTGCAAAAGTCAATAGTGACACCCACCGTGCCGTGCCTGGGAGCATAAAAATCGGAACTCTGCAAGGGCGGCTGGAGCCTGGGGTCTCACGCTTGCCAAATCCGAATACTTCGGGCTTGATGATTGCAATTCCCAGCTCTCCCCTGGGTGGCTGACACTGGCCCAACCCTTCCCGCCCCCCCCCAGCCTCAGTTCTCCCCACATCTGGAATTGGGCGGGTACATCTGGCTCCGAGTGAGACAGCTGTCAGGGACGCCCAATCTGTTGTGGAAACACTCAGGCTGTCTTGGCGCCCTGTGTAACAAGCAGTGGGGGGCGGAGGGGGACGAGGACGACAAATCCCACCAGTCAGCCCCACTCTCCGTGGCTGGGAAGGAAGGAAAGGCTGCCTCAGGACCGCTCGCCTAGCAAGGAGCCCGGTAGGATGTGCTGGCGTGCCCCCAGGTCTGGCACGGTGGGCACAAGTGACTGCCTGGTAGCACAGTGAGGGATGGGATTCCACCACCTTGAGGCGCTCACTGCCTCCCCGACCCTCCCCCCAAGCTCCTTCCAAGCTTAGCTGGAATTCGGCCACTGGAGAGTCATTCCTTTGTTTCCCGTTAAGCTGCAGGTGCTCAGGGAGGGGCAAGATGTCCGGGCTCAGTGTGACTGACCTAGGGTGTCCGGTCCTGGGGTGGGGTTTCCTGAGTGAGGGCCTGGGCTGGGAGTTGGGACCCTTCCTGCTCCCTCCTGCCGACCCCCTCATTCTCTCCTCGCCCTGCCCAGGATGGAGAATGGACTCCCCCGCCCCCCAGGCCTCCCAGCTGTGGCTCTGCCCCTCCCTGGCCCATTTCCCCCCTGCTCAGCCCCTGCCCGGCCTCGGCAGTGGGAGACGGGGCGCTCATCTGGTTACCCTCTGGATGACCTTGGACAAATTTCTTTCTTTGCCTTCTGTGCTCTGATTCTACATCTGGGCTCTCTCGCGTCCACGTTCAAGGCCAGTCCTCTAACAGCTGTGGGAACGCCATTGAGTGCTTGTAATGCTTCCTTTTTCTGTTAAACCCATGTGACACCCCCACTCCAGGGTGTATTATTTTTTCCACATTAAAAATAGCTTATTTTTTCTGATTACGTGGATACTAGGTTCACCTAAATAATACATGCTTCGATCCTCAAGAATTTGAGGGGCATCTGGGTGGCTCAGTCGGTTGACTGTCCAGTTCTTGATTTCAGCTCAGGTCATGATCCCAGGGTCATGGGATCGAGCCCCGCATCAGGCTCCATGCTGAGCGGGGAGCCTGCTTAAGGTTTTATTTTCTTTGGGGCGCCTGGGTGGCTCAGTCGGTTGAGCGTCTGACTTCAGCTCAGGTCATGATCTCACGGTTTGAGGGTTCGAGCCCCACATCAGGCTCTGTGCTGACAGCTCAGAGCCTGGAGCCTGTCTTCGGATTTTGTATCTCCATCTCTCTCTGACCCTCCCCGGCTCATGCTGTCTCTCTCTCTCTCAAAAATAAATAAAACATTAAAAAAAAAAGATTTTTTTTTTCTCTCTCTCTGTCCCTCTGCCCCTCTCCCAGCTCGTGATCTCTGTCTTTCTCTCAATCTCTAAAATAAAAATGTTACATTCAGGGGCGCCTGGGTGGCTTAGTCGGTTAAGCGTCCGACTTTCGCTTAGGTCATGATCTCGCGATTCATGGGTTCGAGCCCCACGTCGGGCTCTGTGCTGACTGCCAGCTCAGAGCCTGGAGCCTGTTTCAGATTCTGTGTCTACCTCTCTCTCTGACCCTCCCCTGCTCACGCTGCCTCTCTCTCTCTCCTAGAAATAAACAAAACATTAAAAATTTTTAAAAAAAAGTTACATTCTTTAATTAAAACATTTTTAAGTTTATTTATTTTATTTTGAGACAGAGAGAGAGCAGAGGAGGGGCAGAGAGAGAGCATTCCAAGCAGGCTCGGCGCTGTCAGAGCCCAATGCAGGGCTCAAACTCATGACACCATGAGATCATGACCTAAGCTGAAACCAAGAGTTGGACGCTTAACTGACCAAGCCGGCCAGGTGCCCCTAAAATAAAAATATTTTTCAAATTAAAAAAGAAAGAATTTGAGCTTATAAAAAACTATGGAGAACATCTATCATTTTATAGTAACAGTATACAGATCATTTTGGCTGAGGACACCTTTCCTCCCCCATCACTGATGCCACACCCCATCCTGCCCGCCACCCCAGTCTACATAGCCTATATGACAACCTGGTGCGGGCCTTCTAGATTCTTCTCTCTCTCTCTCTTTTTTTTTTTTTAATGCTTATTTAGTTCTTAGAGAAAGAGAGACAGAGCACGAGCAGGGGAGGAGCAGAGAGAGAGAGGGAGACACAGAATCCGAAGTAGGCTCCAGGCTCTGAGCTGTCAGCACAGAGCCTGACAAGGGGCTTGAGCCCACGAACCGTGAGATGATGACATGAGCCGAAGTCAGATGCTCAAGCGACTGAGCCACCCAGGAGCCCCTTTCTCTCTTTTTATGTAGGATAGAATCCTATGCCAACGTGTATATGTAGATACACATATGTAGGTAGGCATGTGTATATACATATATAGGCATGCATATATATACAGGGAAGGGACAGAGGAGAGGGGAGTTGGTCACTGCTTCAGAAATGGAACCTTCTATACTATATCTGCATTTTGCTTCCCTCCCTCAGCGATGCCTTGTGCAAATCCCTCCAAAATTTTTCTGGTTCAAATTTTATTTATTTGTTTTTAAATGTTTATTTATTTTGAGAGAGATTGTGAGCAGGAGAGGGGCGGGGGGGGGAAAGAGACAATCCCCAAGGCGGGGCTCAATCTCACGAACCATGAGAACATGACCTGAGCCAAAGTCAAGAGTCAGACGCTTAGCCAACTGAGCTACCCAGGCACCCCTTTGGTTCAAATTTTAAAATGGGGATGATAGGTCGGGCTCATTAAATGAGATGTGTTTGCAAAGAACTTAGCAAAATGCCGGGCACAGAGCAGAGCCCCCCCAAATATTTGCACTCTCCACTGCATCTTCCTCTTAGGTGCTGGGCAGGGCGGAGGGACAGTAACTCGCTCCCAGAGCTAGGAACTGCCAACCTGCAGGGGAAAAGAGAAACCCCGAGGTGACCTCACTTCCAGGTGGGGCAAGACTGGGCCAAACAGGAGGTGTCCGTCATTCGGCCCTGCGGGCTGAACACCTCCAGCGTGTCCAGATCTGGCGCAGACAGGTGGGCGAGGCAGAGGTTACATGATCTCTATCCTTGGTCAAGTACGGGATTGAGACAATCAATCCCCCCCCACACACACAACTTGACACTTATGTCTTTTTTTTTTTTTTTTTTTTTATTTATTTCTAGGAGAGAGAGAGAGACAGCGTGAGCAGAGGAGGGTCAGAGAGAGAGGGAGTCACAGACTGAAACAGGCTCCAGGCTCTGAGCTGGCAGTCAGCACAGAGCCCGACGCGGGGCTCGAACCCACAAACCGCGAGATCATGACCTAAGCGAAAGTCCGACGCTTAACCGACTAAGCCACCCAGGCGCCCCTTGACACTTATGTCTTGAGGCACAGTTGGTGTGTGATAGGGGGTGATGAGCAGAGCCAGGAACCCAAGGCAAGAGACCAGAGCTGGGACTTTGTATATGACTTTGGGCCGATCTCTCAGGTTCCCGGGCCTCAGTTTCCCCACTTGAAAAGGGAGCGGCTCGGGGCTGGTGATCCCGGCTCTAAGGTGCAAGGAGTCTGTAAGCGAACACAGGCTTGTTCCCGCCGGGCTTCCGCAGGAGAGTGGCCCCACTTGGGCTCCCGGGGCTGACGCAGAGGGCCCAGAAATGAGACGGATGCCTCTGACTTTTGTCCTTCTGTCCCTGACTCATACCTTTGGTGTTTCAGCTCTTCAGCCCCGGACCGGGGAGACCCTAGAACAAGACCAGAGAGAGCGTTGCTGCGCACAGGAGCCCCACCTTTCTGCTGCTGATTTCACCAGAGCACTTTCAACTCTTTTGGGACAAACTGATCTTTGTTATCTCAGCCCTCTGACTTCATTGATCATTAATCCATTCCTTGGGCCAACTTCGGCCACGCCCCACACCCTTGTCTTAGCCCTTGGGCAAGGTTTGGGTGTCTGAAAACCCCCCTGGGTGTCCCTGGCTGAGGTGGTGAGAGGAGGCAGCCGGAGGCCGTGGTCCCCAAGGGTGCGCTGTCCCCAGTCCCCGCAGCCAGGCCTGGGCGCTGAGATCGCCATGTCCACCAAGGTGCCCATCTATCTGAAGCGTGGGAGCCGCAAGGGCAAGAAGGAGAAGTTGCGGGACCTGCTGTCCTCGGACATGATCAGCCCGCCGCTGGGGGACTTCCGACACACCATTCATATCGGCAGTGGCGGTGGCAGCGACATGTTTGGTGACATCTCCTTCCTGCAGGGCAAGTTCCACCTCCTGCCAGGGACGGCAGTCGAGGGACCCGAGGAGGACGGCACCTTGGACCTCCCCTTCCAGTTCACCCGCACCGCCACACTGTGTGAGCGGGAGCTCCCGCAGGGGCCATCCCCTCTGCTCAAGAACGCCATCTCCCTCCCTGTCATCGGTGGGCCCCAGGCCCTCACCCTGCCCACAACCCAGGCCCCACCCAAACCCCCTCGCCTGCACCTGGAGACCCCACAGCCTTCCCCACAGCCTTCCCCGCAGGAGGCAGGGAGTGTGGACATCTGGAGAATTCCGGAGGCTGGCTCTGCCCCCAATGGGCTGACCCCCGAGTCAGGGGCCGAGGAGCCCTTCCTGTCCCATGCCAGCTCCCTGCTCTCCCTGCACGTGGACCTGGGGCCTTCCATCCTGGATGAGGTCCTCCAGATCATGGACCAGGACCTGGGCCACATGCAGATCCCCACATAGGACCGCGGCTGGCCAGGCCGGGTGCTCAGGATGGAGTGAATGCTGGAGGCAGGGGGTGGATGGAGCCCTGGCCTAGACGTCGGGATCCCCAGGTCCCACTGTGTGGTCGCCCGCCAGTGATTTCTTTTCTTTGAGCCTTTGTTTCCCTCCCTCCTGCCCTCCCCCCGTGGGCAGAGTGTGCCTCATTTGCTTTCCCCTAAAACTCACCGAGGACACGTGCGGAAGCCAGCCCAAGTGCCCTGAGCACCCCGGGCCACCTGGGCCCCCACCACCAACTGCTCCTCCTTCCCTCAGATCCCTTGGACGAAAGCTCCCCTGAAATGGAGCCCCCTTGTCACCTCCCTCCTGCCTCAGCCCCATGGGATGCCCCGATTGGGGGCGGGGGAAGAGGCAGGGCACAGCCAGCCAGAACTTTGGCTTCGTTGTCCTGGACTAGGAACGCGGCGTCGGTGACCGAACGTCCCTCAGTCCCATCCTCTCTCACATGACCAGGAGATTCTGGTCGCAATAAAACTTGCTGCTGCTGGTAATTGTGCTCCCGGCACCCTTGACCCAGGTTTCCTCCTGAAGGCAGAAGAGCCTCCACGACCTGGGCCGACCGTGGGGGAGACCCCATTCCCAGAAGGCTTTGCGCAGGGCGGGCCCTGCCCTTTGGAAGCCTCCACCTGATTCCAAGCCCATAGTGAGAAAGAAGCAGGAAGGAACCGAATGCCGTCTAGGGTGACTGCAGTATTGCTTCAGGTGTTTAACACGAGGGGGAGACCCCAACAGGGAAAGAATAACCCCAAGGCCTAGCGCAAGGGACCAGCGGCTTCTCCAGCTTCTGAAGACTAAGGGAGCACGCAGGCAGGAATGGCCAGGCCTGGGGCTGGGAGGGATCCAGCAAGTGCCAGTCACCAGGTTCGCCAGCACTTACCTACAGGGCACCCAGGCGTGCTCTGCGTGCTGGGGATATCAGACAGACACGATCCCTACTCTCCTGTAGCTTATAGTCTAGTGGGAAAAGGACACCGACTTTGTAAGCAGGTAGAGTGATTTCCAGCTGTGTTGAATACTATGAAAAAAACATGATCGCGCATGCTGGGACAGGGGTGCAACTGGTGTCAGGGCCCATTAGGCTAGATGTGCTTCTGAGCCAGACCTGAGGGCTAAGATCTGCTCATGCATGAGCAAAAGGCGCTGAGGCACCAGAGGAGCGCCGTGGGGTGATAGGAGCCTAGATCTCAGAGTCTGACCTAGCCTATGTGAGATAGTTTTCCCATCTCTAAAAGGGAGTCAATGGTACCGACCTTGCAGGGTTGTGGGGGGAAATTAGGGGTAACATTTATGAATTGCCGCACGGAAGGTATGCAAAAATGGCTATGGACATAAAGGAACTCGGAGCTCGGGAACATGAGGACTGTGAAGCAGGAAAAGCAGGTTGGAGTCAGCTGGGAACAGCGTCGCCTTCAAGGCTGAGCAGAGGCAGTGGGGAGCTGCAGACGGACTTTAAGCAGGAGAGACATGTGGTCAGATCCAGGTTCTAGAAGGGTCACCACTGAGGCCAATGTAAGATGGATCAAAGGTCAAAGCGGAGGAAGCCAGTGCAGGATGAGGTGGACTGGACGGGACAGGGACAGTGGGGACGGAGTTGGGGACAGTGCTAAGGTGGGGCTTGGTGTCTGATTGGTACAAACTACACGGGCAGCTGGACGCAAGTTCAAGCCTCAGTTTCCCCCTCTTCCATTCTCTGCTAGTTCTTCTCCATCCTTCTGACCCTCCGGATCCCAGACTCCCACCTCACCCCCAGCCTCTCCTGCCTCCAATCCCTGTGTCAGATTTCATCGCGGAGGCTGAATCTGACCAGGAGGCATTTTGCTTGGCCATAGGGCTCTGTGTGTGTGGAGGAGGAGGTGAAATATATACAACATGAAATGTACCATTTTAACCATTTGTAAGTGCGTAATTCAGTGGCATCAAGTACATCCATGTTATTCTGCAATCATCACCACCATCCATTTCAGAACTTTTTTCATCTTCCCAAAGTGGAACTCCGTACGCATTAATCGCTAACGCCCCATTCTCCCTTCCCCCAGGCCCCAGCAACCACCATCTACTTCCTGTCTCTGTGGACCTGGCTATTCTCGGGACCTGAAATAAGTGGGTTCACACAGTATCTGTCCTCTCGTGATTGTCTTATTTCTCTTGGCATGACCTCTTTGAAGTTCCTTCTTTTAAAGACTGAATACTATTCCATTGTCCATCTAGACCACATTCTGTTTATCCATTCATCCATCAGCGGACACATGCGTTGCTTCTACCTTTGGGCTATTGTGAATTATGCTGCTATGAACCCCGATGTACAAATATCTGTTTGGGTCCTTGCTTTCAATTCTTTCGGGTCCATGCAAGTGGAAATTGCTAGATCCTACGCTCATCCTATGTTGAATTTCTTGAGGAACCACCATATTCTATTCCATTACAGGTGCACCGTTTTACATCCCTGCTAAGTTTTTGTTTTTAATCTGAAAATTCTGCTGTTATTTAGAGCGTAGGGGTTTCACGATGGGTAGTGGGGCTTTAACCCAGTGCCTATACTCCACTGCAACCTTCTCCCCCAGCAGGAGTTCTGCAGCAGAACTGGTAAAGTGTGAAGACCAAAGGTGGGGAGCTGAAGGGCCAGAAGCTTCTTGCTGGAGGCTCCCTCTCAGTGCTTTAACGACTTGTCCCTTCCCTTGGAAAAGGAAGACAAGAAAAAAGGTTGGGGCACCTGGGGGGCTCAGTCGGTTAAGCGTCGGACTTCAGCTCAGGTCATGATCTCGCGGTTCGTGGGTTCGAGCCCCACGTCGGGCTCTGTGCTGACAGCTCAGAGCCTGGAGTCTGTTTCAGATTCTGTGTCTCTCTCTCTCTCTCTGCCTCTCCCCTGCTCATATTCTGTCTCTCTCTGTTTCATAAATAAACATTTTTAAAAAAAGAAAGAAAAAAGGAAACCTTCCCTAGAGATTTACCCAGTTAAAAGGCTGCACCTCACCCTGGACCTGAGTTAAGGCCAGAGTAGCCATGGAACGGAGACGTGCCTGTCCTGAGTCCCCTAACTGTCTCCCCACCCACCCTGCATCAGGCACCAACCCAAGGGCCCTAGGAAATCACTTGGGACTGCTGTGTCAAGCTAGAGAAAGGGAATTAGGCAGGGGTCCTCAAGCATCAGATTAACTAAACTAGGAATACCTGCTTGCACTAAGGTAGTCAGGGATGGAAAGATGGATTTTTCCTCTTCAGCTTGTATAGTGCTGTTCACTATATACCACCCACAAAAAGGAATTTCCCTAAAATAAAGAAGTTATTGGACAGCCAAAAAAAAAAAAAAAAAGGCAAGTGTCCGTACAATCCTCTGTTTTAGATGCCCAACATTCATGCATTACTTACTACAATATAAAATAAGCGTCCCCAGTAGAATGGATCTATTCCTATTTCTGTCAACAATATATTCACTCTTCTTCCAAAGGGAGACAACTCAATATCTTGTCAGTGATCACATCCACTTACAAGTTCAGGGTTTCTAGACATTCATTCCTCCTGAAAATTTTTTTTTTTACCAGCCCCCAATATTGCAAAATATCGATTTTGCAAACTATGAACTATGCTGTAAAAGTTAGTTATCACCAATATACCTTATATTCGAGAGTGGAAAGCAGGAGAGAAGTGTGAGAGAATTAAAATATATATAAAAATATACCTGATGCAGCAAGAAAAACATACGTAGAAGCTGTGGGCTTTTTCTACGGCAAAGCTGTAGCTGGTATGAATCACTTCACATCATTCCACAACCATCACCACTATGCATCTGAGAATTTTTTTCGTCTTCCCAAAGTGAAACTCCATACCCATTAAACTCCTTCTTTCACTATCCAATTCATATTCCTTTTGCCTTCAAGAATTTTTTTAAGGATTTTTTTTTTTTCAGTAATCTCTATGCCCAACGTGGGGGTCAAACCTACAACCCTGAAATTGACAGTCGCGTGCTCTATCAACTGGGCCAGCCAGACACCCCTTCACTTTGCCTTCAGCCTGCATCTTGGTTCAGGGTTCTGAACCAGACCCTTATTTTTTATTTATTTAAAAAAAAATTTTAATGTTTTATTTACTTCTGAGAGAGAGAGAGACAGCGTGAGCAGGGGAGGGTCAGAGGGAGAGGAGGCACAGAATCCGAAACAGGCTCCAGGCTCTGAGCCAGCTGTCAGTAGAGCCCGAGGCAGGGCTCAAACCAATGAACCGTGAGACCATGACCTGAGCTGAAGTTGGTTGCTCAACCAACTGAGCCACCCAGGCGCTCCACCAGACCTTTATTTTCAAAGAATCTGAGTCCTTGGTGGATCTCCCTTTATAGAATTGACTTTCCCACCACCCAAAACTTTTATTTTGAAACATCTCAAACCTACAGAGATACTGAAAGACCAGTACAATGTGTGTCCATATACCTTCATCTAGATTTGTTCACTTTTACCATTTTGCCTTGTTTCCTTTATCTCTTTGCCTACATGAACTTTTTTCCTGACCTTTTGAAAAGTTGCAGACCCCAAATGCTCTACCATTGGCTTCCAGGAAGTCCTTTTTTATTTTTTTAAGTTTATTCACTTATTTTGAGATAGAGGGAGAGGGAGAGAGAGGAGAGGGGCTTTGAGGGGGAAAGAGAGAGAGAACCCCGGGTAAGCTCTATGCCTCCATCGTGGAGCCCGATGCGGGGCCCGAACCCACAAACCTTAAGACCATGACCCAAGCCGAAACCAAGATTAAGATGCCCAACTGACTGAGCCACCCAGGCGTCTCCATGAAGTCTTTATGTAGCTCAATTTTGGTTTTATTTGGCTTCTTCAATCTGTGGATTCACATCTTTCATTATTGTTGGGAAATTATCAGTCATTTTCTCCAAATATTGTCTCTACCCCCTTTCTCTCTCCTTACCCTCTGATGCCCCAACTAAATGTATGTTAGATCTCTCTATATGTCTATGTGTCTGCTCTAATTCTCTATTTTCTGTTCTTTTGTCTTTCTATGAAATGTTAGGGACAATTTCTGCCTACCTATCTTCTAGTTTCTATGTTTCTCTCTTCAGCTGTGAGTAATTTGTTTAAAGGATTCATTGTGTTCTTAACTTTGGTTATTTTATTGTTCTGTTGAAGAAGTTCTATGTTGTTGTTTTAAAATTCTGTTGTGGCATTTCTTAATAAGTACTTGTCCCCTGCAGATGTTTTTATGGTAGTTTTTAACTCCTTTAAATGTAGTAGCAATGTTATTTTATGGTCAGTATCAAACCATTCCAATATGTTACATCTTTGTGTGAGTCAGTTTGTGTGTAATAGTTTTTGTACTGGTTCTTGTGAAAGATTTCTTTTTTCTTTGTGTGCCTGATAATCTTTGTCATATCTGAAAAAATATTTTTAGACATAATTTGAGGCCTGGGATGACAGTACATTCCGCATTATAAGGATGGGTCCACTTTTTTTTCTTTCTATAATTTATTTATTTTTTATAATTTACATCCAAGTTAGTTAGCACATGGTGCAACAATGATTCCAGGAGTAGATGATGCCTTAAGCCCCTTACCCTTTTAGCCCATCCCCCCTCCCACAACCCCTCCACCAACCTCTGTTTATTCTCTATATTTAAGAGTCTCCTATGTTTTGTCTCCCTCCCTGTTTTTATATTATTTTTGCTTCCCTTCCCTTATGTTCATCTGTTTTGTTTTGTTTTTTTAACTTTTTATTTTTGAGACAGAGACAGAGCTTGAGCAGGGGAGGGGCAGAGAGAGAGAGAAACACAGAATCTGAAGCAGGCTCCAGGCTCTGAGCTGTCAGCACACAGCCTGTCGTGGGGCTCGAACTCACGGACTGCGAGATCATGACCTGAGCTGAAGTCGGCTGCCCAACCGACTGAGCCACCCAGGCACCCCATGAGTTTTCACCCTCCCCACCATCAACCACCAAACAACAGTTCAGTTTCACAGTTGTATCTTCCAGATCAGTAAATGTCCCCAGGACAAAAACTGCTTTGAATGCTGAGCTTACCTCTTTGAGTTTTAGCTTCCTAAATATTGGTCCAGTTATCCTTCACTGTATCATTAGCTTTTCAATGCTTTTAAGATTTTTGTTTCCGGGGTGCCTGGGTGGCTCAGTCGGTTGAGCGTCCGACTTCAGCTCAGGTCATGATCTTGCGGTTCGTGGGTTCGGGCCCGCGTCGGGCTCTGTGCTGACAGCTAGCTCAGAGTCTGGAGCCTGTTTCGGATTCTGTGTCTCCCTCTCTCTCTGATCCTCCCCTGTTCACACTGTCTCTCTCTCTCAGAAATAAATAAAATATATATATATAAAAAAAAGATTTTTGTTTCCATTTCCTCTGCTTTTTAGTTTGTTCAGTTGGGAATATTGGAATTAAATATCTAACCAGGAGCCTGTGTCCCATTAACTACCCATATGTAATATTAGGAAGACCCCTTGGGGTTCATTTATATTTCTCCTTGCCCCCACTGGGTAATAATCCTATTTCGCCTTGACAATTAGAATCAATCACCCCAGGGGCACCTGGGTGGCTCAGTCAGTTAAGCGTCCAACTTCAGCTCAGGTCATGATCTCGCAGTTCGTGGGTTCGAGCCCCGCGTTGGGCTCTGTGCTGACAACTAGCTCAAAGCCTGGAGCCTGTTTCAGATTCTGTGTCTCCCTCTCTTTCTGACCCTCTCCTGCTCATGCTCACTCTCTCTCTCTCTCTGTCAGAAATAAATAAAAACATTAAAACAAAAAAAGAACCAATCCCCCAAACAATAGCAGTACTTCCTTTCTCTTTTCTCTCTCTTTTTTTAATGTTCATTTTATTTTATTTTTTTTGAGAGAGAGAAAATGCAAGCTGGGGAGGGACAGAGAGAGAGGAGGCAGAGGATCTGAAGCAGGCTCTGTGCTGAAAGCAGCGAGCCCAATGGGGGGCTTGAACTCACAAACCAACCAGGAGATCATGACCTGAGCCAAAGTCAGCTGCTCAGCCGACAGAGCCACCCAGGCGCCCCTCCTTTTCACTTTCTTGCCCAGTGTCATGCAGAACAAAATGGCCCATTGGCCGTCATAGTTCCTAATGTAGAGATACCGTTATTGTTCCTCCCGTGGATCTGGCAGAACCCAGAGGTGCAGAAATTAGAAATATTTGGGAAAAGAGTCACTAGTTGAGATTGGGAGAGGCTGCACCCCACCGCCGCTCCTTCGTTGCTGTCTGTAAGAGAAACACTGTATACGCTGGTCAGTGGTTGAGGGCATCTGCTGTTCAGTGACGACGCATTTCTTAAAGCTTATTTATTTTGAGAGGGACAGAGAGAGAGAGAACAGGAGTATGAGTCAAGGAGGAGCAGAGAGAGAGAAAATCCCAAGCAGGCTCCTTGCAGTCAGCTCAGAGCCTGACTTGGGGCTTGAACCAACGAACCGTGAGATCATGACATGAACTGAAATCAAGAGTTGGATGCTTAACCAGCTGAGTCATGCAGACGCCCCTGGTGATGAAGCATTTCTTGAAAGAATCCTGAAGGAACTGAAAGGCTTTCATGAGGGGCTCACACACTACCTTTCCAATTAAACAGAACTAGCCTATGTGTTATTACTAATATTTTTTATTTTAAATTTCTTATTGAAATATACATGCAGATGGGGTGCCTCGGTGGCTCAGTTGGTTAAGCGTCCAACTTGGGTTCAGGTCATGATCTAATGGTCTGTGGGTTCCAGCCCTGCATTGGGCTCTGTGCTGACAGCTCAGAGCCTGGAGCCTGTTTCAGATTCTGTGTCTCTCACTCACTCTGCCCCTCCCCCGCTTGAACTTTGTCTCTCTCTCTCTCTCAAAAATAAATAAACATTAAAACAAATTTTTTGAAATATGCACGCAGAGAAGCGCCCCAGTTTTGTGTAGTTCAATACATTTTTATAAAGTGAACAAACGTTTTTAGTTTTATAGATTTGTGGTTTGATGTGCTTTCTTTCTATCTTAACCTCTAAAACTTTATTTTGTATCAATGATTTTGCATTCATTTTCTTAAAGAAGGTTTTAAAAATTAAGTATGCCTTGGGGTGTCTGGGTGGCTTAGTCGGTTAAGCGACCGACTTTCGCTTAGGTCATGATCTCGCGGTTCGTGGGTTCGAGCCCCGTGTCGGGCTCTGTGCTGACTGCCAGCTCGGAGCCTGGAGCCTGTTTCAGAGTCTGTGTCTCCCTCTCTCTCTGACCCTCCCCTGCTCACGCTGTCTCTCTCTCTCCTAGAAATAAATTAAAAAATATTTTTAAAAAGTACCTTATGCTAAAAAAAAAAAAAATTAAGTATGCCTTAGCCACAAGCCCTCACAAAAGCTGGATAAGCCACTGACTACCACATTATCCTTTACTGGTTTCCCTAAACCTGCTTGCATCTTTGTAAATACTTATTTTATTAAGCTCTACTCAATTTCCCCATCTAAAAAATAATAAAATTATTAATCAATAATTAAATTATTAAAGAACCTATGTACCCACTACCCAGATGAAGAAAAAGAACATTACTATAGGGGTTCCTGGGTAGCTCAGTTGGTTGAGCCTCGGACTTCAGCTCAGGTCATGATCTCCTGGTTCATGAGTCTAAGTCTTATTTTCAGCTCACTGCTGTCAGCACAGAGCCCACTTTGAATCCTCTGTCTCCAGTCTCTCTGCCCCTCTCTGCTTGTGCTGTCTCTCTCAAAAATAAACATGGGGCTCCTGGGTGGCTCAGTCAGTTAAACGTCCAACTTCGGCTCAAGTCATTTTCTCACAGTTAGTGAGTTCAAGCCCCACATCAGGCTCTCTGCTGTCAGCGCAGAGCCTGCTTCGGATCCTCTGTCCCTGGGGCGCCTGGGTGGCTCAGTCGGTTATGCGGATCCTCTGTCCCTCTCTCTCTCTCTGCACCCCTCCACTCTGTGTGCTCTCTCTCTCTCTCTCTCAAAAAAAATGAACAATAAAAAATAAACATTAAAAAAAAAGAACATTCCTAGGACCTCAATAGCTACCTCTTGCCCCCTCTTGTCATTATCGTCCAAAGATAACGCGTCTCCTGAGTTTTCATTCCATGGACTAGCGTGCCTATTTCTGTACTTTTATATAAATGGAACCATGCAATATGTCCTTGTTCAAAACTGGCTTCTTTTCTTCAATATTAAGTTTTTGAGATTCATTCACATTGTTGTATAACAATAACTTATTCTTTCTGTTTTGTTCAATCTATTGTACTGTTTTGGGTTTTGGGCATTGGGTTTTTTCCAGTTTGGAGCTATTACAATGAATGCTGTGGTGAATATTCTTGTGCATGCTTTTTGGTGTCTGCATCTGCAAGGGCAGTTGCTAGATCATAGGATTTGTATACGTTCAGCTTCAGTGCTAGCATACTGTCTTACTTAGCTGGGACCGCTATAACAAAATATCACAGACTGGGGGGCTTAAGCAACAGACAATTATTTCTCCCATTCTGGAGGCTGGCAAGTCCAAGATCAAGGTGCCAGCAGATTTGGGTTCTGATGAGAGCCCACTTCCTGACATAGACATCTGCCATCTTGTTGTGACCTCACATGGCCTTTCCTCATAGAGAGAGATATCTGTCTTCTTCTTCTTCTTCTTATAAAGGCACTAATCCCATTAAGAGGGCCTCACCCTTGTGACCTCATCTACAGCTAATCACTTCCAGAGGCCTCAACTCCAAATACCATCATATTGGGGCTTAGGGCTTCAACATATGAATGGGGAGAGCACAAATATTCAGGCCACAGTACATACTGTACTTTTTTTTAATGCTTATTTATTTTGAGAGAGAGGGAGAGATAGAGGTTATGTGCACAACACACACACAAAAGTGCAAAAGCAAGGGAGGAACAGAGAGAGGGGGAGAGAGAGAGAGAACCCCAAGCAGGCTCCATGCTGTCAGTGCAGAGCCCCCACACGGGGCTCGTTTCCATGAATTGGGAGATCGTGACCTGAGCCTAAACCAAGAGTCAGATGCTTAACTGGCTGAGCCACCTGGCGCCCCATGTACTTTTGATTCCTGCTTTGGAGTCACTTCTGATATTCTCTGTCCTGACAAGCATTCGGTTCCTAGGGGTAAAAGAGTGTGTTGTCTCTGGGTTTTCTTTCAAGCTGCTGGTACCTATTCTGCAAATGTGGTGCAGGGTAGGCAGTGACAGATAGCCCACAACGCTCTTCTGCCAAAAATGATCTTAAGGCACAGCAATGCTAAGAGGTCTCTTGATTCTAAAATATTAATATGGAGGAGAGGCCAGGGAGGGAATATGCACATCCTGGGATTCATGGGATAAGGTATATGTCAAAGACCAAAGGCCATGCCCCGAGGACTGTGACAGTTAAAAGTGGAACAGAGGACAGAGAGTCAGCAAAAGGGGCTGAAGGAGCTGCCAGTGTGGTCAGAGCACAGCTGGAGGATGTGCATCTCAGAGACCCGAAGAAGAGCTTGAAAAAGGAGGGGGAAGATGAGTAGAGCTATTGGGTTGACAGGCCAATGAGGATGGAGACGAGATCTCTAAATGTGTTGAAATGAAGGTCCTGGTGTCTTTGTTAGGACCTGTTTCAATGAACTAGGGGGAACAGAATCACCATTAAGCTGGGCAAAAAGGGACTTGGAAGTAAGTCAACAGAGATGGGGGTATAAACAGAAACTTTGCTGTGAAAGGGGAAACAAATGCGGTGATAATCCAAGGCAGACATGGGCTGAAGGAAGGCTCCAATTTTTTTAATGTTCATTTATTTATTTTAAGAGAGAGAGAGAGAGAGAGAGAGCACGAGCAGGGGAGGGGTGGGGACGGGGGAGAGAGAATCCCAAGCAGGCTCCACACTGTCAATGCAGAGCCTGATGCAGGGCTTGAACTCACCAGCTGTGAGATCATGACCTGAACAGAAATCAAGAATAGGACACTTAACTCACTGAACCACCCAGGTGCCAGAAGAGCTCTGATTTTCTAAGAGGATATTAAGCCATGTTTGTACATGAATTTGCATGATTCGGTAGTGAAGGAGAAATGCATGGCACAAAAGATAGCTGCAGAAGAGAAGTTCTTCACGGCCTGAGTGGAGGGACGGACGTAGGAAGGATGGGAGAAGTGGCTATCATTTCAGTTGGTGGCTGGGTTTGGTGACAAGATGGTGAGGTAGCTTCTGCCAAGGGTCCAGTGTTCAGAACAAGGAACTGCTTGTTCTGGACGTTCTTGCAGTTCTGGACGTTAATTTTCCTCTCCCTAAATGGGCACTTGATTGGTGATGGGGGAGGGTACGGGGGGGGGAGTGGAGTGTGCACCATCATCCCCCTCCCCGAGCCCATGAGTGAGGGCAAAGGGTTAACCAAAAGGTTAAAGGTCGGCGAAGTAGCAGAACGCATGTGCTCCGTCTAGTCCATCTAGCCCATCTCTGGGCCTGCCGGTTTTCGCCAGCCTTCATTTCATCATCTCATCAATCCTCTCATTTCTGCACGGGGCCAGATCCTCTCTCGCTGGCCCCGCCCTCCCAGTGGAAGACACCGGGCTCGAGCTGGAGCCCCCGGAGCGCGCGCCCGTCCCCACCGCGCCTGCGCATTGGGCTCCCTCGGCTCCCCGGGCCGGGCGGACCGTCCCCGAGGCTGTTCTCCTTGCCTCGCTCTCGGGCGCGCGCGCCCGGGCGGCGCCTGCGCAGAGGAACGAGGAAACCGGTTCCCCGGTGCGGTCCCGGCGCCTGCGCGCTGAGGGCTCCGGGCCTCCCGGCCTGAGGGAGAGGAGCAGGGAAGATGGCGGCTGTGGTGGAAAATGTAGTGAAGCTGTGAGTAGTCGTTTCTTTCTCTCCTAGGCCGGTGGGGGGTTCTGGTAAGGGGCCTGGGAGTAGGGGGCGGTGCGGGAGGGGACGAGGCGGAGGGAAAGACATGCCCCAGAAGGCGTCGTTGCGACTTGGTAGGGAGGGCAACAGGAGACTCCGAGAAGACGTTGCGCTTCTTTGGAAACTTGTGGAGGCCCTGAGGGGGGCACACGGGAGCCCCTTACCGGTAGCCTCCCTGCGGGGCTGTGCGGTCTGAGCTTTCCTTCAGGCTCGCAGTGTCCCGAGCATGGCGCCCCTGTTGCGTACGAGCGACAGACTGGGTGCGCTCTCGCGACCAGACGCCTCGGTCCGGAGGGGCCGGGCCGTGTCCCCCGCGAAGCCCGGCCGCCGACCCCTCCCCACCGGCCGCCTACAGCCGGTCCTGGAGCAACAGGCTCAGCAGCCCTGGCGCAGTTAAGCACCGCGGAGCTGTTTTGTTTTAACAGCCCCGTGACGTTCCCGGAGGGGCGGGGGGAGGTCTTGAGGATATGCGACCCCGAACCAAAAACCTTCTTGGGAAGCATTTGTTGAGGAGCCGATCCAGAAGAGCGAGAACTTCAGGGGAGAGAGGGAGCCTTTGCGCCGGCCAGTGCGGCCACCAAAAAACGGGAACTGGACGGAGGCCGTCCAGGACGCCTCTGCCGCGCAGAAGGGCATCTCGGTGGGCAGGCTGCGCTGTGCAGCCCCCCTGTGCCAGGCAGGTGTCGGGCAAAGTTAGTTCGTGGTTCTTGGGGAGAATGGAGAGTGGTCTGTTGGCTGCGAGTTCAAGATGCTTTGGGACTTGATGTCACCCAGCCTCCTCCGCGAAGATTGCAATGGGTTCATGCCTGCTGGGCGGAGAGAGCAAGCTCTTTTGAATGGGTACTTTGGGCTGGGTGCAGCCGCAGGAAGATTGAAAGGTGTCTAGCTGGCGGGGCCGGGCTTTTGGATTTTGACCGGATGAATTTTGACCGGATGACAGGGTAAAAGGTTTGGCATTTATTCTGAGGGACTCACAGCTTCTCATCTGCCTTTGTGGTGGGCTGAGCCCCCACTCTTCCCAAGAGCCTTTCTAAAGAGTAGGTTGCTTCCCCCTTCTCTGCCTGGAGCCTTTTCGTTGAGAATGCGTTCCCACTTCCATTAAGCTAAGTGCCTTCTCGGCTTGTGGGGTTTTTTTTCTTTCTTTTCTTTCTTTCTTTCTTTTTTTTTTTTTTTTGACTTGCTTTCAGCTCCATCCTGCCTCCTCTTTCGGCTACCCCTCCTTCTAACACTATTATCTTTCTCTCCGATCTGCCCACTCCAGTTTCCCCCAGCTCTTTCTTCAGGCTGACATTTCCCTCAATTTAGAACTGTCGCTGTTGATCTACCATTTGTATAGTTATCCTTCCTGACTCAGATGTTCTTTCTTTGTTTCCGTGCCTTTCTCTTTGTTGATCCCCCCCCCAACACACACACACACATCCCATTTTAAGGGGAGGTTTTACAAAGGTTTCATACTTCCCAGGAAGGAATCCCAGGAAAGGATTTCCTTAGAAATCTTACCGTACTGGGGGAATATCAGATTTGGAGAGTTAATAGGTTATGAGACTTGATGTTGGAAGACTTTCTTCAGGGAAATAGAGTTGCCAAGCCTTTCGTGTGGTGCTAAAAGGGAGGAGTTGCCTGTTTATACAGAGCATGACTTCTTATTTCTCTTCAAAGAACTACAGAGATGGTGAGGGTCACCACTCGTTACTGAGCACTAGTAACTTTCTCCTCTGTTGTAGCTGCAGAGGGCTGTGAGCCACAATTAGCACATTTCCCTACAGAACTTGCCCTTTAAGAAGGGGCTTCTACTCTTCGTCTACCATTGTCACCCTGGAGAGAGATACCTTTCTGGAGCTTCTCTGGATCATGGTGTACCTGCTCTTTGAACAGCTGAGATGATACATCGAGGTCAGGACTACTAGCGCATCTTTTCTGATTTGCATCTTGTTCTGGAGGAAGAATCTTCCTGTTTATAAATGCTCTCATTCTCTCTTAATCTCTCCTCATCAGATCCTCTCTTCCCCCAGCTTAGGTGTTTCATTTGCCACTTCTCTGCTCACGAGACTGTTTGCGCCGCCTTCTGAAATCCCACTAACTGCAGGAGCTTTGATCGAACATCTCTTACTCTTTCGCCCCAAACCATTTCTAGCCTCCTTGCTCTGACTTTGAAGCCCAAAGTCTGTCTCGCCCTTCCTTCCATTTGACTTCCAGTGTCAGTATCAATTCCCATCAGCAGAAACAAAGGAGCTGCTGCACTCAGCCTTGTTTATCCAGTTTTCCTCTGCGTGGTAAGGACATGGCTGCCTCCTAAAGGCCAGCTAATGTGAGCCTGTTCCCTTCTCTTTACTCTCCGACACAAGATCCACGCTTCCCTCAAATTGTAGTCATTACAGCTCATTGAATCAGGCCAGGCTGTCTTGTGTTGTCATCGTCTTGTATGTGGTGTGTGTCTTTGCTTTGGTACATACTAAGTAAGCTGTGCCTAAATAGTCTGTTATGGCTGCTGTGAGAGCCTACCCTGCTCCCCTCCCTTCCCAGAGCTTGAGTTATGAACATAAGCAACAGAGACATACTGTGTCCAGCTTCTCATGCTAGCGGTCTCCCTCACATAGAATATGGTAGAGCTTATCTAGTCCCACCTCCCCAGTCTGTAGCAAAGGAACCAGAACTCCACGTGGGTTGATGAAATGTCCAGTTTGTGTGGTGACTTGCAGCCATGCAAGGTCTGCTTACTCCCAAGTCAAGTCCAGATGTCCCAAACACCCTTGAGGGTGCTGGGGATAGTATGGCAAAGAAAATACCTCTGCCTTCGGTTTAATTTTAAGATTGATTGAATATGTAAACATGAATCATTTTAGTTTAAGCTCAATTAATAAAGTGCTTGTTAAACTGTAAAGGATGAAAACAAGATTGTTTCTCTATACATGCTTCTTAGAACCTGGCACTGTACAGTTCTTCTGCTTTTTAAAACACTTAAAGGTTTACCCTTTTTTTTTTTTTAAGTTTATTTTGAGAGAGAGCACGTGCGCACAAGCAGGGGAGGAGCAGAGGGAAGGAGAGAGAGAATCCCAAGCAGGCTCTGCGCTGTCAGGGCAGAGCCCAGTGTGGGGCTCAAACCCATGAACCGCAAGATCATGACCTGAGTCAAAACCAAGAGTCCAAGGCTTAACCAAATGAGCCACCCAGGCGCCCCAAGGTTTACCTTTGATTTAGATTTCAAACGGAGTCTTGGAGTGAAGGAAGATTTACATTTCAAGCTCAGTCTTTGGAGTAAATAATTTGATGGTGGGAATGGAAAAGGGCCTAGGATGGGCCTCTGAGCAAACAGGTTTTGTATCACTCTAGTAGTACTGAGTAAAAAAAGTAGGCTTCAAGGTAGTTCAGGTATTTTCAGATGTTTTCCATTGACTGTAAAATCAGTATATAGAATTAATTAGTTGGCTAAATACACGTCCCCCACCCCACCCCTGCTATCCAAAAGTAAAGTGTTCCTATGAAACTGTTCATAAGCTGAGATGGCATAAAGCAAAGAAGCAATTACCACTTCTTGAAAGTAAAAATCTCTCTGAATCTCTTCTGGTTAGTGAAAACAGTTACTAATGTAGGTCTTTTGTCAAAGTGAAATGCCATAAAGGAAACTGTCAGATAGTGGGAGAAACCTGCACATGGTTCAGAATCCAAAAGATAAAAAATGGCATAGAAGAGAAATTGCCCCCAGTTTTTCTCTCTGGAGGTCTACAGTTTCTTTTCCACCTCTTGTTACATGAATGGTAGCATCTTATAACACTTCTTGGCACTGTACCTTGCTTATTTTTTCCTAGTCATCTTGGAGATTGTTTGATATCCATACATGAAGAGTTTCCTTCTTTTTCTTGAATGGCTAAGTAGAATTTCATGGTATAGATATGCTGCAGTTTGTTAAATATGTTTTAATAAGACCCCCCTAGACCTTGTTGAACCCTTTTCCTCATTTGTGAAAAGAAGCTAACCTCTTCTTTTCAGTCCTGAGGGTCAAGGGAAACCTCATCTTGGCCAGCACAGGGCTGGACTCAAGAGAGGCACAGAGTGAACATTAGTTTCTTCCTCTCTCTCTGGGTTAGACTTAAGTCTGATTAGACATGAGAGATCATGGGTTCCTGATGGTAATTTATTTATAAAGTGCCTTTCCTCATAATGGCTTAGTGAAGGGACTTGGTGTCCCATGAGGCAGAAATGGAGACAAATAGGACCGAGCCATGATCTCCCAGTCCCTTGAACCTTCTGGGTTCAAGAAGCAGATGGCAAGGGAGGGGTAGCTCGGTGCCCTGTGCTCCGCCCTGCCCTGATCTTTGTCTTCCCCGCAGCCTTGGGGAGCAGTACTACAAAGATGCCATGGAGCAGTGCCACAATTACAATGCCCGCCTCTGTGCTGAGCGCAGCGTGCGCCTTCCTTTCTTGGACTCACAGACTGGAGTAGCCCAGAGCAACTGTTACATCTGGATGGAGAAGCGACACCGGGGTCCAGGTGAGGGTTCACACTCAGAAGCACAAGGAAGGAGCTTTCTCAGCTTAAGTGATGAGCCAGCTGAGAGGGTTTTCCTCACTGCTTTCCCCCCACTGGATGAATATGCTCTTCCCTTGACTAGAAGCCCAGGGGGGGATGGAGCAGACAAGTTCATACCAGCATCTTTGTTTCCTTCAGGGCTGCCCTACTGAGGCTGTCATTGGGCTTCTGGGAAGCTAGATGTTAGCCAAGGCCCCTGAGTCTACATCCAGTTTTCTTTTGCATAAACTTTCTCCTCCTGCCTGGGCCTTCACTGTCCATGTTCCTCCCTTGCTCTAGAACCCAGGGCTGGGATGGGGTGGGGAGGGCTGCTCATCTAGAAAGTGTTTGCTGTTATTGCCTGGGACTGGGTTAGAGCTTGACTTTTCTCCCTTTCCTTTTTCCACAGGATTGGCCTCTGGGCAGCTGTACTCCTACCCGGCCCGGCGCTGGCGGAAAAAGCGGCGAGCCCACCCTCCCGAGGATCCAAGACTTTCTTTCCCATCTATTAAACCAGGTAAAGCACACTCCTCCCTGAGCAGGGGTGTGGCCTGCTGCATGGTAGGAGGCCTGCTAATTACCTGTTATAAGCCAGGCCCAATGCTGGATCCTGAAGATACTAAAATGAGTGAGAAGCCATTCCTTCCTTTAAAGAACTCAGTCTAATAGAGGAGACAGGTAAACAGATAGTTATGCTGCCATGTAAACTGAGGTGTCTTGTTTGGTTCCTGGGCAGCCAGAGACCAAAAGACAGTGACTGGCCTGTGGCTGGCCTCGCACTGTGTAGACCCAGAGCGGTCTGCTTTCAGCCCTTCTGAGCCTCGCCTCCTCCTGACCTTGCCTGCAGACACAGACCAGACCCTGAAGAAGGAGGGGCTGATCTCTCAAGATGGCAGTAGTTTAGAGGCTCTATTGCGCACCGACCCCCTGGAGAAGCGAGGTGCCCCGGATCCCCGAGTGGATGACGACAGCCTGGGCGAGTTTCCTGTAACCAACAGTCGAGCACGGAAGGTACAGGATTAACACTACGGCTAAGGGAGTTTTGATAGAAACTGGCCTCCTCTTCATCAGAGGCCACGCAGTAAGCAGAATGGAAGGCAGAGGCTGTGGGCCAGGCAGCAGGCCCCTGCCGTTCTGTTCCTGCTTCATTCCCTGATTAGCACTGGGTACTGACTGGCTTTGCTTTTAGCATCCCATTTGTCCTGTTCCTTTCCTTCTAAGGACAGACTCCTTCATCTTTTGTCGCAGATGGTTTTTGGTGCCTGGGGTTACATGGATGAAGCAGACCTGGTCTATAGGGAAGACAAAACTATACATAGAAATACTAAGAGCTAGGGGCGCCTGGGTGGCTTAGTCGGTTAAGCGTCCGACTTTCGCTTAGGTCATGATCTCGCGGTTTGTGGGTTCGAGCCCCGCGTCGGGCTCTGTGCTGACAGCTAGCTCAGAGCCTGGAGCCTGTTTCAGTCTGTGACTCCCTCTCTCTCTGACCCTCCCCTACTCACGCTGTCTCTCTCTCTCTCTTCCTAGAAATAAATTTTAAAAAATAAAAATAAAAAAGAAATACTAAGAGCTAAAAATACGGCAGGTGATGTGCTGAGTGCTTTCCCATTACTTTCTCTATTATGAAGTAGGTACTGTGGCCTCCGTTTCACATGCAGGGAAGTTGAAACAGAGTAGTTAAAAAAAGAAAACCTTCCTATAAGGCCACACAAGTAAGCAACAAAGTTCTAATTTAAATCGAAAGATTGGGGGTGCCTGGCTGCCTCAGAACAGTGTGCAGGGTCTCAGGTCATGAATTCGAGTCCCACATTGGGTATAGAGATTACTAAAAAAATAAATAACTAAAAAAAAAATCTAGGAAGTGAGATGTCAGAGGGAAGGGAACCATTGTCAGGGTGCTCCTAGGGCAGCAGGTCAGAGGCAGGAGAGGGCACAGCTCCCTGGGGTACCAGCAAAGACTTTCTGACAACATGGCATTTGATTCAGCCCCTTGGAGATGGCGAGGAAGGCACTCCAGGAGAGCAACATGAAAGGGCAGGAGAGCCCAGAGCATTGCAGTGAAGGGCTGGGACAGCAGGGTGTTGAAGGGCAGCAGTAAGGCCGGAGGCCGGAGCAGAGGGGCCACCTGACAGAAGGGGTTGTGGGCGGCCTGCCCAGTCCCGTCGTGTGGGAGCTTCTGGATGTATGTTGTATCTGCCCATCCTAATCCTCCTGTCCATTCAGCGGATCCTAGAACCAGATGACTTCCTGGATGACCTTGATGACGAGGACTATGAGGAAGACACTCCCAAGCGTCGGGGCAAGGGGAAATCCAAGGTGAGAGCCGAGGTGCTGCCTGCAGGGGACCCCGTGGAGTCCCTCTGCGTTATTGCTTGTTGTTGCCTTTTTTTCTCTTGTGAAATTAGCAGCCACTTCCTGGAGAGCTCAACTCCTCAAGCTTAAACATCTCAGTAAGGACATCATTTTGTTCTTTTTGGCAGGGTAAAGGTGTGGGCAGTGCCCGGAAGAAGCTGGACGCTTCCATCCTGGAGGATCGGGACAAACCCTATGCCTGTGACAGTGAGTGCCTCGTGAGTGGGTGGGTAGTCCTTGCCTTGGACCCAGCCCCTGCTCAGGATGTGAGAGAAGGGAGGGTGTCGTTCTTGTTCAGAGTGGTAAAGTCAGCCTTGACACCGTCCTGCCTGCCAACAGGAGGCCCCGGCCTCTGCTCCGCCGTGGAGGGGGCCTGCATGCTCTGGGAGAGATTGCTGCTGTCCCCGGGGGCGGGGTGCCGGGGGTGGGGGCACACTCAGCAGGCAGAATCGGCCTCTCGATAGACCACTTCCGGGTCTGCGGGCCCCAGTCAAGCCAGGGCTCCCGGAGTCCAACACTGAGTTTTTCAATGTTTGCTGTCCCCCTTTTCTCTGACTCGCCCCACTTCTGTTCCTCCACCCTGGGAGCGCCATCGCCGCTGGTCTCTCTCTCGTTTGCTCCGCTCTCCTGCTGCTGCTGCTCCTGTCTCAAGTGTATCAAGGCCTTCTTCTCATGACTTTTCTTTCTGTCTTTCAGATAGTTTCAAACAAAAGCATACCTCGAAAGCGCCCCAGAGAGGTAGCTCTCTCAACTTTTCAGACTATTGGTTTTCCTGTCCCTTTCCCTCCTCCCTGTTTCTCCCACCTTTCTCATCTCCTGTGGTGCTGGTGTAAAACTCTCTGGAATGGCATGGGGAAGGGAGCGGCGGGCTTTCTGTTGTGCTCCACTCCTCCCAGTCCCGGAAGCTGCCTCTGCCGCTGCTTGTCTCCCACGGACTGGCTCCGAGGGCTGCTCGGCCCCGCTGCATGGGGTGGCTTCAGAAGCATTATCAGGAACCCGCTACAACAGATCCCTTTGCTTCCCCTTCCCCAGAACAGACACATGGTGGTCAGCTAACGTTTCTCACCGTCTCGCCACCTCCTCCCGTCCTCTCCCCGTCCCTTCCTGCCGGCCCCTTGCTCTTTCTGGTGTCACTGCTTAAGAGTACGAGATGCCTTGTGGAGATCTGCTTTCCTGGCTGGTTGGCAGGGGGTGGGCAGGGCACTGATGTGAGAGTGTCTTTGAATTGCCTTGGGGGCCAGATACCCCAGTGGACTCAGTGGATAGGTGATCCCCAAGTGATCCACTCCCCACTCCTCATTGGGCAGAGATGAGCTCTGTGGTATTCACGGGGTAGCTTGAGCTTCCCACGTTGACTGAGAGGTAAAAGCAAGTTTGGGATCTCTTCATTACCTTTATTCCTCCTTGCCATGTTGCAAGATTGTAGAAATTCCCTTTCCTTCCTGATGCAGAGCTCCCCGGACTATCCCCAGGCCAGGTGGTAATGGGACAAGGGGTCCGCCTCCCAGACAGCCAGTGTGGAAGAGCAGAGGTGGCCATGGGCTGGGGGTCAGCAGGGGCAAGAGCCACGGAAGCCGGAGAGCCCCGGGGCCTACCGCTCCTAGCCGAGGAGAGGTGGCTGTCACTAAAGGCCTGTCTCAGACAGAGCCTGTGGGGGGCAGGGTGGTCGCCTCTGCCTCGGGGGGCACCCCGCAGCTCGGAGGGGCCAGGATGCAGCTCTCTCGGATCCTAATGCCTTTCTCTGCACTCTTCTCCCCACTCAGTCTGTGGAAAACGTTACAAGAACCGGCCAGGCCTCAGCTACCACTACGCCCACTCCCACCTGGCTGAGGAGGAGGGTGAGGACAAGGAAGACTCGCAGCCGCCCACCCCGGTTTCCCAGAGGTCGGAGGAGCAGAAGTGTAAGCTGAGGTGTTGGAGGTGGGGCAAGCGGGAGTTGGCCTGCTTACGTAGAGCCCTCCTTGCAGGGATTTGGGGTGGCTTAGAGGCCCCCGAGGGTGTCGTCAGAGTTCTCTTTCTGTAGCCAAGAAGGGTCCCGATGGATTGGCCCTGCCCAACAACTACTGTGACTTTTGCCTGGGGGACTCCAAGATCAACAAGAAGACAGGGCAGCCGGAGGAGCTGGTGTCCTGCTCTGACTGTGGCCGCTCAGGTACCTCCAGCCCAGGGCCGCGGGCAGCCCCGAGGAGCCCCGGGCAACCTGGCCCCCTGCGCCCCCCTCCCTGTCCCCAGCTGTCTGTGTCACGTGCTCCCGCCTTCCACAGGGCACCCGTCTTGCCTGCAGTTCACCCCAGTGATGATGGCCGCCGTGAAGACCTACCGCTGGCAGTGCATCGAGTGCAAGTGCTGCAACATCTGCGGCACCTCCGAGAACGACGTGCGTGTCCCCCCCACCCCGCGTGCCTGGCACCGGCCGTCCGCGGCCCGTGCACGGGAGCCTCCTCTGAGAGGGAAGCAAGACCCTCCCCAGCACCCCAGTGAGAACTTTGAGTCCTTTGCTCGGCAGGTGCTCACTGAGTGCCAGCTTAGTGTCAGCCGCCATTCTAAGCACCGAGGACACAAGACGCACGAGGCTCCTCCCTTCATGGGATTTATCCTCTGGTGGGAACAAGCGGTGCACGAGGAGATGAGTGACCCTTCCCTGGGGCCGTGAAGAGAGTGAGCGCGGTGGTGTGGCAGAGTCGCTGGATACTACATGTAGGTAGTCAGAGCTGGCCTTACCGAGGAGGTGACGTTGGTGTTGAGATTTGGATGATGCAGAGGAGCCAGTCCAAGAAGGTTTGTGGGTACAGCGTGCCCAGGGGAGGAGCACCAAGTGCAGAGGCCTAAGGCAGACGAGCCAAGTGTCCCGAGGCAGCTTGGCCAGCCGGGGCCTTCCTGCAGCGGGAGCACAGGAGGAGGAGAGAGCGGAAGGCGGCCATCACCAGGTCTGAGGATTTCATCCGGGGGTGATGTGCCCCAATATTTTTAGAAGATACCTAGTCTGTAAAGAATAGAATGTAAGGGACGAGAGTGGAGGCCAGGAGCTGAGTTAGGGAGCTGGTAGGGTTCAGGTGGCATGATGGTGACTCAGTTTGCATGGAGGACAGCCATTTTCTTTTTTTTTTTTCTTTAGTTTATTTTGAGAGAGATTGAGCCAGCATGAGTCGGGGAGGGGCAGAGAGAATCCCAAACAGGCCTCCCACTGTCAGCCTGGAACCTGACTCGGGGCTTGAACTTGTAAAACCATGAGGTCAGGACCTAAGCCGAAACCGAGTCGCACTCCTAACTGACTGAGCCACCGAGGTGCCCCAGGACAGCCGTTTTCTCTCCAGAAGTTCCCAAGTCTGTTCTTACTTGCCACCTCCCTGCCCCCTCTTGGAAGTAGCCATGGAGTCTGCAGAGGCGCCCACCCCTCCCCTCCCCCAGTGGCCCGACTGAGGCCCACTGGTCACTCACCTGCCCCTTCCTCTCCCACCTTGCCTTCTCTAGGACCAGCTCCTCTTCTGTGACGACTGTGATCGTGGCTACCACATGTACTGTCTCACACCATCCATGTCTGAGCCTCCTGAAGGTAGGTTGCCCTGATCTCTTACTCAGAACAATTATCTTATTTGTCACCTGGCAGATCACTTGTACAATAAATGAGTTCTCGGTGATCTGTTCTTCTAAATCAGGGAGTAGATACTTTGCCTTCACTCAGAATGCTTTCCTACCATCTCAGTTTCAAGGGTTTAATGTTTGCACGTTGTCCCTAGATACATTTAGATATGCAGAAAATCCCCAGCCCAAGAGAAAACAGATGCTGAGCAGAAAACATTTACCAGGAGTGGTTTGTTTTCCTCCAGCCAGTCCAGAAACTCCATTGATAGTTTTTCTGATGTGAGGCTTTGGTGTCAACTCTTGGACTTGACAGGTTTGAGTGTCCATATCATTTCTCTTCCGTTGCCTGGACTAGGAAAGTGTTAAATCTGGAGCGTGAATGGGTCACTGCGCCCCTCTGGTAGTTTGCTTAATAATGCTTTGAGTTTGTGGAAGCTCTTTGGCCAAACCAGTGGTGGCCCCAAAAAGTGGCTGCCTCTCTGAAGTCCCCCTCCCCTTCCAGCCAGATCTCTGTCCCCAGGCTCCTCCTTTATAGAAATCCGGAGCTTGCTCAGGAGGGTGTGAGTGCCTGGTTTTCACTGTGCGCAGAGGATGTGGGCCAGCATCACAGACCAGAGCAAGTGGCCCATTGTGTGGTTAAGCTGATTCGTAATAGAGGTCAAACTGGTGTCACCCCCTAGGGAAGGGGACACTAACGAAGTCTGAAGAGTCCTTTGGCAGCTACGGGGGAGCACATAGCTACTGTCCTCTCTCGTGCTCACTTTACAAATCTACTTGGATGAAAAGTCGTGTGATCTGTGTTTTATTTTTTTAACTGTGAAATATTAATTTATAGACCAAATTCTACGTGAACTGTACAAGGGCCTTCCTAGTGAAGTACTGTCAGACGCTGAGGTAGTGAAGAGCTACAGGCAGCTGGGGGAGAACCCTCTAGAAGCCATGAGGTGGTCTAGGCTCTAAGTCGGGTGTCAGCAAACTGCAGCCCATAAGCCAGATCCAGCCGCTGCTAGTGTATACAGCTCACAAGCTAAGAACGGTTTTTACATTTTTAAAGGAGATTATAAAAAAAGACAAACATGGAACCGAGACTATATGTGGCTCACAAAGCCGAAAATATGTAGCACTCTGGCTGGCTGTTTACAGAGAAGCCTGCCAGCCCCGGTGGTATTGACCTTCGGGTTACAAAGGACCTTTTTCCATTTTGAGAGTCCTAGATCGCTGAAGAGTTTATAAAAGGTGTGGATTCTGTCCCGCGTACACATCCACATATACGTATGTACAGTTACATTTATGATTTTAAGGCTACAAGGGCTAATTTTGTTTCTAAAAACAAAACAAGAACACAACATTAATAAATATTAATAAGCAAAGTATGAAACAGTTATTTTTCTGACAAGGGACATTTTTTCCAGTTTTTTGGTGAAGTAGATCATAGCAAGTTGGGTCATCACAGTTTGCCCCTTTTCAGCTCTCTTCAGTCCTCAGCATCATCTCAGACACCTAGTGACGGTGGCAAGCCCGTCTCCTTTCTGTGGTTTTCACAGAAAGCCGGCTTAGTGTGGAGTCAGAGTTGGTTTCTCTAGAGCCACTATTCGTGATCTCTGCTCTGACCGTTGGGGCCATGAGAACAAAGGCTGGTTCTTCTGTAATCACAAGTCTAAACTGGAGATGCCTGAAAAAATCCTGTCTTCCCAGGTGCCCCTAGAGATTCTCATTTACTAGGGCCAAGAGGGCCTAGGAGTCTGTATTTGGAAGTAGTCCTCCAGGTGATTCTTTCTTTCAGCACCAAGAATTCTTTCTCATGATATTTGAGGCCCTAGAGGTTTCTCGTAGTTCAGGGTAACTGTGAACGTTCACTGCGCAGAACCTCTCTCCCACACGTAGCTGGTCCAGCTGCTGGAAGGAGGTGTGCGGAGCTGAGGGGCGCCGCGCTAGGGCCATGTGGGCCCTGTCCTGACCCTTTCTGCTTCTCTGCAGGAAGTTGGAGCTGCCACTTGTGTCTGGACCTGTTGAAGGAGAAAGCTTCCATCTACCAGAACCAGAACTCCTCTTGATGTGCCCCCCCGCCCCGTCCGGCTACCCCCCTCCCCTCCCCCTCATGCATCTAGGGCTGTTTCTCTCCTCCTCTCTTGTTTTTCACGCCCACCTCTCCCCTCCTCCTCTTTCACAAGTCCAGAGAACCTCGGGTGGTCGTGCCAATCTGCCTTTGGCAGCAGCAAGCTGGGGTGGCAGCTCTGGCCACCCCTGGCCCTAGGCCCTCAGGGAGAACGGAGCAGCACACTGCCCCGAGGCGTGCCTGCGGCCCAGCTTCTCACTGCTCTCCGTGCCGTGCATTCACTCTGCCTGCCTTGGGCCCCGGCCCTGGTGATCACAGGGTTCAAACAGTGTCCTCTGAGAAAGAGTAGGAGAGCAGCTCCCCTTTCTCTCCGCTCTGCCTCCGCTCCAGTCCCTGGGGTGTTGCCATCCCCTAGAGGGGAGCCAGGCCAGGGCCTCTTCACCAGGAGCGGCTGGGGGCGAGCGGCTGGGGCGAGCTGAGGCAGCGCTTCCGTGCGCGTCGTGCTGCTTAGCCTCGCTGCCCCCTTCCCCTGGACCGGCCCTCCGCGGCCCTGTCTTCCTGCTCCCCAGGGTCCTTTGCCTGAGCCGGGATGCTCTTGGTCACCCTCCTTGTTCGGTCCTGTCCCCCTCACCCCACCCCACCCCAGGGGGAGTAGCAGCTTCACCTGATTCTTCTTGTGCTCACCTGGCTCACTCCCAGGCGGTCTCTAGTGACCGAAGCATTCCCCGCCCTTGGAATTTCCTGTCTTCTGCCTCCCCTCCTTGTTCCCTTTGGTTTCGTGGGGAGAGGGGAAGAATCAGGGGGCCAGGCCAGCAGCTTGGGGGCCACAGGGAGACGTTGGATAATGTGCCTGTTTTTTAACTCGATGAAAAAGCCTACCTCCGAAATCCCCCTTTTTGTTCTTTCTGGACCTGGACTTTCAGCTCCTGCCCTTAACTGAATTGGGAGCCTCTGCCTCCTGCTCTGTGTATCGTGGCTCCTGGGTCACAGGGAAGCCACACAGACCTCCCTTTCTTCCCTTGCACGCTCGCTAGCAGCTGGTAAGGTCTTCACGCCCTGATTCCTCAGTTTTTTGCCTGGTGACACTGACATGAGATAGTGGGGGGGACAGTCCATGCCAGGACACCCTGGAGTGGCCTTCCCCTTAGCTGTGGGCAGGCCCTAATTCACGGTCGCTTTGGAGTTGAGGTGTCTTTTCTTTCTTTAGTTCCTGTATTCTAAACATTAGTACAAATAAACGTTTTTACGCAGAACTCCCTGCTGCATGGTTTATCTCCTGACTCCCTTCCCTGGTTAAGGAGGTCATTTCATCCTAAAACTTTCCTAGGACAGTGGCGTTTATTTAATCCCGAATTAAAATTTTTGCCAAACTCCAGTATTTAAAGCATATATAAAAAATTGAGTGTTCTAATTCTTAACGTACATTTGTGTTACAACACAACTATTCCTTGTTATGAAAGACAGAGAAGGGGTTGCAGTTAATACAAAACTTGGGTTAAAGTCAACTTCATCCTGTTTCTGTATTTGGGTTGGTTTGAAGGAAATTCTGCTTGACTTGTATATGCAAACGGTGACAGGTTTGTAACGGTTGGTCTTGGGATTTCAGGTACTTTACATGGGTTCAGGAGCTTGATTATTATATACAGATAAAACAGTCACAAGAAAATACTACAGTGGAACACGTGAAAGCTTTGTGTGTATTGCACACAAGGAGCAGAGAGACCCCTCACTCGGCCTTGCTTGCCTGGCACACACTCCTGTAGATGTGGTGCACATGAGCTCAGCCCCCATGCCGCTTTCCTGGGGACTCATCTACGTGCACAAAAATGAGTTTCCTTTCTTTGCAGCTGACTTTTTTTTTTTTTTTGACAGCTTCCATAATGGATCTTCTCTATCTCGCTTGAGTGTGTGTTTTGAAGTTCTTAAACTTTTTTTTTTTTTTAGTTGAGAGAAAGAGCGTGTGCAAGTGGGGGAAGGGCAGAAAGAATCTGAAGCAGGCTCTGCACTGTCAGCATGGAGCCTGATGCAGGGCTCGAACTCACGTACCATGACATCATGCCCCAAGCCAAAGTGTGACACTTACCCAACTGAGCCACCCAGGTGCTCTGAACTTAAACTTTTTAAGATTTGAATCAGTCAGTTATCAACCCACTGAGGTATCCTTAGCGTTTTTTGAAACAGCCTGAAAGCCACTGTTACCCACTGGAAGCCAGTGGCGTAGACCATTGCATTCAATAAGTAAGCGGGGTCCTCTGGGCTGGGAATTTGGGTGGTAACAAAGCACATCTCTTGTCCTTAGGTATTTTACACGGAAGTAGGCCAGAAGCAGGTGGAGTAAAGCAATGATCGTTGGTGGCTGAGTAGTCTTCAAGAGTCAGAAAAGAAACGTGAAAAGAAAAATGTAAAAAAAAAGATAATGCTGTAGCAGCCATAAGTGAGAAATTTGGGAAGGGCTCGCAAGGGATGAGATTTCGGATGGGACGGAAAGGGATGGAAAAAGAATCAGCCAGTAGGATTGGGTTGGGGAGGGAACCCTGTGAGAAAGGCAGAGTGATGGGGACTCTGTGTGGCCCCCCTCCCATCTGTGGCCCCAGGCTTCCCATCAGAGCTAGAAGCGGGGGAGGGAATCAAGGCTGGAAAGCAGGCTGAGGTTGAGGGCCGTGAGCGCCCCGCCGCAGGTTAAGGTGTCTACATCCGCTTGCTAAGAACAGGCAGGACTGAAGGTTACCGAGGACGGGACTGGTAATAGATCCTGAGTTCAGAAACCTGAATCTTGCCAACAGTTACCAAAACCAATAAAACTTGGACCTTAATCGCCCTAAATCGGAACTGGCCCACGCAGGTGGTCATCCCTAGCTGGACAGATGGACGTGAGACCAGCGCTGTCCATGGTAACAGCTTTTGTGTGGCTTAAAGCTTTCTTCCATTTTTCTCACAACCGGTCCGTGAGGGGTGTCAGCCCTGTTGGGTAGATGAGAAAGCTGAGACTGACTAGGTCACTGCCAGGAAGGCCTTGAGACGCCAGGTCTCTCCCGCGCCCACGCTGCTGACTCCCGCCGGGTCTTGGCTCCGCCTCAGAGCCCCTCACGCTGGAGGCCCCGCCCCTGGGAGGGCCCCGCCGCTTCCGCGACGTCCAGTGAGACTTGGCTGGGGGCGGGACGGGACGTCATTGAGGGCCAATCTGATTGGGCCTGGGCGGGGCTGCGGCGGGTGGGAGCCGAGCGGCTGCACCGTGGTCTTCCCAGCCCGGGGAGAGCCCGGCGCGGGCGGCGCGCACGGGCCGTGCTGTGCGCGCGCTCGCCGCCCGCCACCTGCCACCGCGCAGCCCCTCGGCCCACTCCGCCCGGCGGGTCGTGGCGCCCGTCCCTCCTTTGCCCTCCCGTCGCCGCCCAGACAGGGGCTCGGGAGCCGAGCCGAGCCGGGGCAGGGGCGGGAGCCGCGGGACGAGCGCCTGAGGTGGGTGCAGAGCGGGAAGCAGGGAGGCCGGGCCGGCGGGCGCCTGGGTACGCCCCGCCTAAGGACCCCGCGCTGAGGTGGGGAGAGGTCGGCCAGGTGGCGGAGCTCGGCTCCTGGCCTGCCTCGGTCCCGGGCGCTCGGGTCCGCGCTCTAGTCCCCCTCCCAGGCCACCACCCTCCCCTCTGGGGACACCTCGTCCCTCTCGCTGCCTGCGGCCTCCTCACCCCTCTTGCCGTTTGTCGCCTGTGCACCTGGCGTCTTGGTCTTGTGCTCCCACTGCCTCTCCAGGCCCGACTCCTCCGCCCCCCCACCCCCAGTCTCACCTCCTCAGGACCCAGCACCAAATCAGCCTGGCTCCTTCTGCTCCCGTCCGTCCCTCTTTGTCGTCTGTACACTTGTCACCTCAACTCTGTTCACCTACTCCGCCCCCCTACGCCCCCTTAACCCCCCCTCCCCAACATCCAGCCCAGGCCATCATCCCTCTCCGCTTTCCAGGGACGCCTCTCCCCAGCCCCGATTGTCCCCTACACCTGCCCCACTCAGCCCCAGCCCCATGTCCTCCCCCATCCACACCCCTTTGTTGTCTCTGCCGCTGTCCCCTTGGCTCTATCCATCCTTCTCCCCAAAACCCCAGCCCAGACTCCTGCTCCGTCTGACCAGCGAGCCCCCTCCACTGCCCGGTTCTGTTCCGGCATTCGCCCTGCCCTGCGCCCGCGCACGGCTCGCTCAACCTAGCCATGCCCTTCCTTCCAGCCCAGCCCTCTGAACACCCACCCAGTGCGCCCCGCACCCTCTCCGGCCGGCCCCGCCTTCCCTGGTGTCTCCCCCACACCAGCCTGCTCCCCTGTCCCCGTATAGCCTCGTTTCCCGCCGGTGCCCCTCTGCCGCCCTCCCGGCCTCAGCCGCCTGTGCCCGGCTCACTGTCTGCTCCCCCGGCAGGTGCCGCCGCCGAGAAGCCATGGAGCTGAGCAGCAAGAAGAAGCTTCACGCCCTCTCCCTGGCCGAGAAGATCCAGGTGCTGGAACTCCTGGACGAGTCCAAGATGTCCCAGTCGGAGGTGGCCCGACGCTTCCAGGTCTCCCAGCCCCAGATCTCCCGCATCTGCAAGAATAAGGAGAAGCTGCTGGCGGACTGGTGCAGCGGCACAGCCAACGGCGAGCGCAAGCGCAAGCGGGAGTCCAAGTACAGCGGGATCGACGAGGCCCTGCTCTGCTGGTACCACGTGGCGCGGGCCAGGGCCTGGGACGTGACGGGGCCCATGCTGCTCCACAAGGCCAAGGAGCTGGCCGACGTCATGGGCCAGGACTTCGTGCCCAGCATCGGCTGGCTGGTCCGCTGGAAACGCCGGAACAACGTGGGCTTCGGGGGGCGCCACGGACTCGCACCGCCGTTCCCGCCTGAGCCCCCTCCCCCGGGCCCCCCGGCCCAGGCGCAGCCTCCTCTTTCTCTTAAAGACTTCTCCCCGGAGGACGTGTTTGGCTGTGCCGAGGTGCCTCTGCTCTACCGGGCGGTGCCGGGCGGAGGCGGGGCGCGGGCCGGGCTGCGGGTGCTGCTGTGCGCCAACAGCCGAGGCACCGAGAAGCGGCGCGTGCTGCTCAGTGGGCTCCGGGCCGCGCCGAGGTGCTTCTTTGGGGTCAGCGGTGAGGCCCTGCCTGCCTCCTACCACCCCGCCCCGGGCGTCCCCTGGTCAGAGTGGTTGGCGCACTTCGACAGGGACATGGGACGGCAAGGCCGCCAGGTGACCCTGCTGCTGGCCGCCCGGGTGGTGGAGGGGGTGGCCGGCCTGCCGGGCCTCCGCCACGTGCGGCTCCTGCCCCTGGCCGCTGACGGCAGCCCGCCTTCGCTGCCCGGCTCCGTGGTCCGGGCCTTCAGGACCCACTACCGCCACCGTCTGTTGGGCAAGCTGGCCGCCGTCCGGAGCGACAGGGACGGCGTCTCGCTGGCCGAGGCCGCGGCGGGCATCACGGTGCTGGACGCGCTGCACATGGCGGCGGCCGCCTGGGCCAAGGTGCCCCCCCAGCTCATCGGGAGCAGCTTCGTCCAGGAAGGGCTGGCTCCCTGCAAAATGGCCCCGGCCCCAGGCCAGGCCGCCTCGGAGATGCCGCCGCCAGTCCCCGGTGGGCTGAGCCTCGAGGAGTTTTCCCGCTTCGTGGACCTGGAGGGTGAGGAGCCCGCGTCCGGAGTGTGCAAGGAGGAGGCAGGCACTGAGGACGAGGAGGGGGCCTGGGAGGATGGCCCGGGGCCCCTGCCCACCAAGGCCGACGCCCTCCGGGCACTGGGCACGCTGAGGAGGTGGCTGGAGTGCAACGGCACCTCCCCGGAGCTCTTCGAGAAATTCTACGCCTGCGAGGAGGAGGTCGAGCGGCTGTGCGGCTCGTGAAGGGGTGAAGGGCCCCGAGCTGCTCGCCGGAGCCCCTCCTCTCCTGTTTCCCATGGAAACGGCCCCACTAGGAAGGCAGCCAGGAGGCTGGGCTCTTTCCCGTGGAAATGGAGCTTCTGGAAAGGTGTGGAAGGGAGACAAGCGGGCAGACCAGGTCGACACTCTGAGAGAAAGTTGTCCAAGCCTTGAGAAGGGGGTTGTGACGCGAGTGCTGAGTTTCTGAACCTCCAGGGAGGCTGGGACCTGGGCAGGTGGAATTGAGGCTTTACAGACAGGCCGAGCCCTTGAACTCTGTGTCGGAAAATAAAGGTTTTTAATCAGAAAAGACGTCAGGGTGTTATTTTCATGGGAAAGGGGCAAACAGTTTCAACTCAGATTTTTTTAAATGATTGCTGAGGCTCACCCAGCGCCGCTGTC